TGATAAATCAGTGTTAGAACCATGTCAATGCTTAGAATACTTAGGATTTATTTTAAATTCAGTCAACATGACTGTCACTTTAACAACACAAAAAATTATTAAAATCAGCACAGCCTGTACTAATTAAAAGGCAGCATCATCCAATTTATCTATTAGAGTTTTAAGTGAAACCATCGGTATGATGGTTGCAAGTTTTCCAGGAAATTTGTTTGGACCTTTATTTTATAGGTCTCTAGATAATGCTAAAAATAAAGCTCTTAAAGATTCAAAGGGTAATTTTGATTCTATGATGATGATTCCTGCTGACTGTAAAGATGATCTGGAATGGTGGATATCCAACATTATGTCAGCAAATCGTCCACTAATTTTTTCAGATCCAAATAGGGTTTACACCTCTGATGCGTCTAAAAATGGATGGGGAGGCACTTTTTTAACATCTACAACTGGGGGTCTTTGGTCTGTTGAGGAACAAGAACTCCACATTAATACGTTAGAGCTTTTGGCCGCTCTTTATACACTTCAGTCATTCTCCAGAGAAGTCTCTAATATTCATATTCACATTTTAGTAGATAATACTACAGCAGTATGTTATATTAACAAAATGGGTGGAGTATCTCCTAGCTGTAACTCAGTTGCACATAAATTATGGCTTTGGTGTCTGAGCAAGAATATTTGGGTTTCTGCAGCTTTCTTGCCTGGATCTGAGAATGCTGAGGCAGACAGGCAGAGTAGAATAGATCAAGATAATTTGGAATGGAAGTTAAATTCCATTTATTTTCAAAAAATTGTTAGTTTGTGGGGATTACCAGAGATTGATCTCTTTGCCTCACGATTGAATAATCAGGTTTCTGTATATTATTCTTGGCAACCAGACCCATTGGCTCTCGCCATTGATGCTTTTTCAGTCAATTGGATCAAACACAAATTGTGTTATGCTTTTCCACCCTTTTCCCTCATTGGAAAAGTGTTACAAAAGGTTAGCCTTGAAAAGACTGAGATGATTATTATTGTCCCTTTTTGGATCACACAACCTTGGTTTTCTGTGTTGATAGAAATGTTAATTGATTGTCCATTTGTTATTTCTAGGGACATATCCACCTTGAGTCATCCGAAGGAGTTTTTCCGTCATCTTCCGAAGCTACGCCTTCTAGCCTGTCGAATTTCAGGCATACAGTTATTAACGAAGAATTTTCGCCAGAAGTTAACAGTATCATTTTGCAGTCATGGCGCTCTGGAACAGTTGCGCAATACAATGTATACCACAGGAAGTGGTTCCAATTTTGTTTGTCACGGAACATCGATTCATTTTCACCCTCTTTGGGGTGTGTGTTAAATTTTTTATGTGATTTATTTCATTTGGGTGCCAGTTATAGTGCATTGAATTCAGCGAGATCAGCTTTATCGTGTTTTATTAATGTTAACAATAAACCAATTGGATCTCATCCAACTGTCATTCGTTTTTTGAAAGGTTGCTTTAATTTACGTCCATCATTACCAAAAACTTGTGTCACATAGGATGTGAAGTGTGTATTAGATTATTTGCAGTCATTACATCCAGTTTTAGAGCTTTCGCTGAAAGAACTTACTTTTAAATGTGTTGCTTTGTTGGGTCTTTTATGTGGACCGAGAGCCCAATCGTTACATTTAATAGATATAAGAAATGTTACATTATCAGATGTTTATGTTAAGATTCGTTATGGAGATTTATTGAAAACTTCTAGACCAGGAAAACATCAAGCTGAGTTGTGTTTAAAAGCGTTTACAGATAAGCGATTGTGTATTGTAACAATTTTGACTGCATATTTAGAAAGAATTAAAGTGCTTAGAAATGACTGTAATAAGTTATTCATTAGTTTTGTCAAACCTTACAAAGCAGTTACTAAATCAACCATTTCACGATGGATCAAATGTGTTTTAGGTCTGTCTGGAGTTGACATGACCGTTTTCACTCCGCATAGTATTTGTAGTGCGTCTACATCAGCCGCTTATCAGAGCAATATTCCACTGAATACCATTATGTCCACAGCAGGATGGGGTAATTCTCATACATTTGCACGGTTTTATAATAAACCTATTTTGGATTATTCAAATTTAATTTCTGTGACAGATTAATTTGAAAGGGAGGAAACAGTTCTTCTGATACTTATATTCGAGTTTTAAAATCTTTTAGATTATTTTTGTTATGAATGTACATTAATTTGTTTTTGTTATGAATGTACATTAATTTGTTTATATAAATGTGTACACATTATCTTATTGTTTTATTTCTTTTACCTCCTTGGTTTTAGAGAATGAAACTGACTTTGAAGTCTCACGTGATCCAAGTGCTATAGACTCAATGAAACAGAATTTAGTAGTTAAACGAGACTTACCAGTAAGTTGAAGTTTGACTGTAATTCTGTTTCATGGTCTATAGTTCGGAGGGATCATGTGCCCACCCTATTATTAGGGCAAGGTAGTTACTAGTTGAGTGATTTACCCACCCAGCACTTGGATAATTTCATTGCTCAGTGTTCATTCTCTCTTTGAATTATGACTCACGCATGTGCATAGCACTCTCACATGATCCCTCCGTACTATAGACCATGAAACAGAATTACAGTCAAACTTCAACTTACTGGTAAGTCTCGTTTAACTACTAAATTAAGAACTACTCTCGAATCACGGCAAAGATAGACTTTTAAATTGCAAACTATAACGGTATTTGGGTTACCGGTCTTACAAATAGAAATAAGACAAATAGAACTTGCAACGGGGTTCGAAAGCGCTTTCAAATCAGACACATAAGTTCGTACTTACCGTAAAAATGAAATGGACGCGACACAAGTCTCCGATGTAAGAGAATATTAGTTAATTATAACCGCTATCAAATCCACGCAAAAATCCAAGGCACTCGTTTTATTTTAGAAAAGAATAACTGTATTTCGATGGAAGAATCTATTCCACATGAACCCCAAATCAATGATAACTGTCAACTTGTATGTTGTCATTCTCGTGCAGATTGGTTTGAATAACAGAAATGTCCCTTGGATCCAAGATCAAAGAATAAAATCGCACGTAGCCACTTTGTTGTTTTTATTGGTTAAGACTACATTATGCCGCAAAGACCCAAAGTTGCCAGAAACCATGCAGTGTTCACCTTACAACAGGTCCATTGATTTATGGTTTATTTTATAATTTATGATACCGTTTAGACCACAATGCTTTACGATTTAAATTTTGGCATTCCAAGTTGATTATATATGCAAGTTTATATGCAAAAGGATATTAATTTGGATTGGTATTATTTTTATATTTGCCTGTGATAATTATTAAGGATATTTAACATCTACAATATGAATATAAAAGGTAAGGTAAATACGTACTATTTAAGAAATGACCTTTTGGCCCGACATACATGTACGAATACATGTAAAAGGGGCTCCGGCGCAATTTAAGGAATTATTGTTGACCCAATATTAACCATGGCCAATTTTTTAAATCATGGGATAAAGCCAATCAGCAAACAATACGGGTCAACTTTATTACAAAAACATTGGTGAATTTATCGTTGATCGTTAGGTAAATAAAACAATATAAACAACCAACTGGTCCTCTTCAATAGTTATGAAATTAATTAATCTAGAAAGCACATCAAAGAGTGTAGAATAAATGGTCTAACAGAAAATTCAGTTGTTAAAGGGGCGTGGGGCTATTTAAGGAATGACGTTTGTGCACAATATAATGAAATGATTTCCACCGGTGTAAGGCAGAATATGCAAATGACTAAACATCATTTTGTTCATAAGCCGCTCTGCATGCGTGAACCTTAAGCCTGTACCGATTTAAAAAAAAATATGAGTTTTACCGTAACAGAGTAATCACAATTACTCATTACAAATTGGTATTACATTTAGCGGATTGGATGGGAGTCCGGTCGAATCCTAACAACCCTGTGAAATCGCGACGAATAACTTCTTGGTTACCGTAGTCATATTTTAAGTGTAACTTTGTTTTCTTTATTTTCACATTCTGCTAATTAAGAAACCATTTGAATAATAAATACAGGTAATTGAATGGACTGAAGCTACATGTATAATCAAAAAGAAATCGACATCTCTTTTGAAAATATGTAATTATTACTACTGACAATTAACAATAAAAGTCATATTGTCCACAAGCACAAGACTACTACAAGGTAATAGTTTGTTGTTAAAGGGGCGTCTATGTTCTGTCAGTCGATTTCCTTTCATGTCACGTGTCAGTTCTCATTGTGGAACCTTGATTGACAGTATGCATCCACCAGACTCTATGGTGCCGAAATGAAAACGTCAGCAAGGTATTATCAGACTGATACGTGTCAATGTACATGTATTCAGCAAAGTTCCATAAACTTGTTGACGGTGAATTCTGACTTTGTGTGATTACATATCAGGAGACAAAGGCTTTTAATTTATTTGTGATTTAAACCAGAATTATTTATCAGTATGTGAATTACTATTTAGATGGATAAATCTACGCCCCCGGTAAGACTAGCATATATTGGTGTCATGTTATAATTTTTCAGTAATTTGATTGAATTTGTAATGGTCCATCGATGCAAGTCTTACAAATGTCGAACATATTAATGAAGTAATAATGTATCGGTATAAGCATATTTCTGTTTAAAAGATGACAATACCCGGGTTTAAATAACAGAATTACCCTGTGATATAACCCTATATACGGTCCATGATATAACAGATCAAAGAAACGCGTACGCCAATCTTCACACGTAGCTACCAACACATTAAGTGATCTATAATAACAATGTATAGCTCTACATGTACTTCATCTTAAAATAAACGATCAGAGGCATGGTTTAATTAAAACACCGAGTCACACCGTGTTTCCAACACCGAGGCAGTGCTATCGTGTCACTCGATATTCGCTCGGTGTTCACTCGGTAAATCACGGAATTCCACTATAAAAAACACGGTAATATCGTGTCCCGTCAAACCATCGTGACGGCCGTACTGTACCTTCTCTCAGTTCTTCTGTTTCCACCATCTTTACTTGCAACGAAACTTTTTCAGCTTCCAGACATGAAATTTTCTCAGTCTGTTCACTGACAGAATCTTGAAGATTTGTTACAGTTGATTCAAAATTAGCTATTTTCACTTTCATAGAAATCTGTGAAGGCAAAATGAAAATTCAATACAAGTAACATATATATATATCTCAACTAATTTTCAAAAACCAGCGACTGCCAGGCAAGATACGCCCACATTTTCCAAGAGATGGATAGAGAACAAGCTAAAAACAAAAGTGATTTTTTGTACAATCAGGGGCCATAATCCAGAAAGTTATGGTCTGAAATGCACAAATATCAAAAGGGACTGAGATCTTTGGAAAGATATAACCTTGATATACCCTTATTTTTGATATATCAGATGTTTACACTAGTAATTGCGTACGAGGGGCAGCCATTTGTCGGGCAGTTTTAGTCTGATTTTCACGAAATTCGAAGTCTACCATCATTAGGGTGTAATGGTGATATATTCGAAAGATTTTTAAATCGGATAATAATTGTGACCTCTAGAGGGACAACAAGCTAAAAACGTGATTTTTCGTACAATTAGGGGCCATAATTCAGGAAGTTACGACTCGATATGTGCGAATATCGAAAGGAACCGAGATCTTTAAGTTCTAAACATGCATTTCAAGTTTTAGTAAAATCGAATCAAAATTGTGACCTCTAGAAGGTCCACAACATTGCTACACCAGATGCTTACACCAGGGTTTCCACTTCAAAATTTTCACTGCCGGTCAGTTTTGATAACACACAAACACTTTGCAAAGTAAATTTGTATTTCATGTTTTTTATTCATGGTAGGGTATTGTGAATTCATGTGTCTATACCACTTTGTCAGCATGGGGTACACAAACCAGCGGCTGCCAGGCAGGATACGCCCACATTTTGCAAGAGATAGATAGAGAAAAAGCTAAAGATAGGTTGCCAGGCAACGAAACATATGCTCACAGCAGCTAAATCGTCCGGGCAGTCAACAAGAGTTGTCGCATATTTTTACTTTTTTCGGTAATAAAATATTTATAATACATTAAAATCTGATTAAGAGTAACAACTCATTAAGTAATTATCAGAAAACCATTAGAATTTGTTTGGTTTTTATAAAGTTCTGCCCCATGCTAATGTTTAGTATACAAAACTTTTAACATCGTGGATTTAGCTGTTCAAGTCATAAAGATTCATTGAAAATCAATATACTTGTTCGTCTCAAGACCTTAAACACTGTGTATAAATTTAAAGTCAATCGGATATTAACTTTAGCCTCTAGAATGTCCACAAGATTTTTCAAAGTGATCAAGGGCCTTAACTCTAGCAAAAATTATCGGAAATTGCTGAAAATCAATAGGCTTCTTCGTCCCATGGTCTTCAACACTGTATATAAATCTAAAGTCAATCGGATATTAACTTTAGCCTCTAGAGCGTCCACAAGATGTCAAAGTGATCAAGGGTCATTACTTTGGCAGTAATTATCGGAAATCGCTGAAAATCAATAGGCTTCTTCGTCTCATGACCTTATACACTGGGTATAAATTTAAAGTCAATTGGATATTAACTAGAGCGTCCACAAGTTTTTTCAATGTGATCAAGGGCCATAACTCTGGCACTAATTATCGAAAATCGTTGAAAATCAATAGGCTTCTTCGTCTCATGACCTTAAACACTGTGTATAAATCTAAAGTCAATCGGATATTAACTTTGACCTCTAGAGCGTCCACAAGATTTTTTGAAGTGAACAAGGGCCATAACTCTGACAGTAATTATCGAAAATCGCTGAAAATCAATAGGCTTCTTCGTCTCATGACCTTAAACACTGTGTATCAATTTAAAGCCAAATCGAAAATTAACTTTAGCCTCTAGAGCGTCCACAAGTTTTTTTAATGTGAACAAGGGCCATAACTCTTGCACTAATTATCGAAAATCGTTGAAAATCAATAGGCTTCTTCGTCTCATGACCTTAAACACTGTGTATAAATCTAAAGTTAATCGGATATTAACTTTGACCTCTAGAGCGTCCACAAGATTTTTTGAAGTGATCAAGGGCCATAACTCCGACAGTAATTATCGAGGCTTCTTTGTCTCATGACCTTAAACACTGTGTATAAATTTAAAGTCAATCAGATATTAACTTTAGCCTATAGAGCGTCCACAAGCAATTGTGGACGCTGGACGGCCGGCCGGGGGCGACAACAATATACGACCACATTTCAATGTGGGCGTATAAAAACAAACAGGATTTTTTGTCCAATCAGAGGCAATAAGCAGCGAAGCACAATTCCCATCGCCTGACGCCCGGGACAGGTTAATCATTTTGTTGGACAGCTGATATTTCGCATTCGGTCCGCCCGCGGACAGGCCGATTTCTCTGACAAATTCTTTGAAATTGAACAATACTTTGTGATCATTTAAAGCATTTTAGTTCCTGTGGGCACAATAATAATAGCCGAATAGACTAACTTCATTTACAACTAACTTACTAAGCACACCATAGTCCTACCCGTAAAATAAACGAGTATTGTCGAATGACAACATAACTTACCGAAGATACCACAATTATTTTTACTCTATTTTGTGAAAATATGTCCTCCTTTCAATGTCATTCACGGTATTTTATTGTTGAATGATAAATAAACAGCAATAAATAATGTTATAAGTGTTCATTTCACAAAGATTGCAAACGCCGTATAGCATTTTTACATCACTTGACTTCTCGCTCACTTTTTTACACGACCGGTGGTACTGTTAGAATTATCCCTGTTTCTTCACAAATTGTGTATACCCATTTTGATTTTTCAAAGGAATCATTGATTTTCTGATTAAAATATATTTTATGTAGGCAGAAATGTGAATAAAGCTAACTATACTGAGAGGTACCGGTAGACTGATTATCAATGACAATGTGTCATGGTGGTCCGTAAATCGCATGATCCAAAAAAACGCTATTTATTTGACTTGGTTAATGGGCACTAATATTGTATACTTTAATTTACATGTAGCATTCTTGTATTGTAATATTTCCTTTTCAATACGGCATACGCTTGAATGAGAAACCAGCGGCTGCCAGGCAGGACACCCCCACATTTTCGAGAGATGGATAGAGAACAAGCTAAAAAGAAAGTGATTTTTCCTACAATCAAGGGCCATAATTCAGGAAATTACCATTCGATATGCGCAAATATCGAAAGGAACCAAGATCTTTGTGTTATAAACTTACATTTCAAGTTTCAACAAAATCGGATAAAAATTGTGACCTCCATAGGATCCACAACCTTGATATACCATATTTTTATGCTATTTGAGAACGAAGGGCGGCCATTTTGTCTGTCAGTTTTGGGCCGATTTTCACGAAATTCGAACTCAGCCGTCCTTATGGTGTAACGGTGATATAATAATACATTTTTTTAAATCGGATAAAAATTATGACCTCTATTGGGTCCACAAGCTAAAAAAGCGATTTTTCGTACAATTAGGGGCCATTATTCAGGAAGTTACGGTCCGATATGCGCAAATATCGAAAGGAACCGAGATCTTTGGGTTATAAACTTACATTTCAAGTTTCAACAAAATCGGATAACCAGCAACTGACAGGCAGGATACGTCCACATTTTCGAGAGATGGATAGAGAACACGCTAAAAAGAAAGTGATTTTTCCTACAATCAAGGGCCATAAATCAGGAAATTACAATTCGATATGCGCAAATATCGAAAGGAACCAAGATCTTTGGGTTATAAACTTACATTTCAAGTTTCAACAAAATCGGATAAAAATTGTGACCTCTATAGGGTCCACAACCTTGATATACAATATTTTTACACTATTTGAGAACGGGGGGCGGACATTTTGTCTGTCAGTTTTCGGCCGATTTTCACGAAATACGAACTCAGCCGTCCTTAGAGTGTAACGGTGATATAATAATACTTTTTTTAAAATAGGATAAACATTATGACCTCTATAGGCTCCACAAGCTAATAAAAACGCAATTTTTTCGTACAATCAGGGGCCATAATTCAGAAAGTTACGGTCCGATATGCGCGAATATCAAAAGCAACAGAGATCTTTGGGTTATAAACTTACATTTCAATTTTCACCAAAATTGGAAAAAAATTGAGACCTCTATAGGGTCCACAACCTTGATATACCATATTTTTACGCTATTTGAGAACGAACGGCCGCCATTTTGTCTGTCAATTTTGGGCCATCCTTAGGGTGTAATGGTGATATAATAAAACGTTTTTTTAAATCGGATAAAAATTATGACTTCTATAGGGTCCACAAGCTAAAACCGCGATTTTTCGTACAATCAGGGGCCATAATTCAGGAAGTTATGGTCCGATACGCGCGAATATCGAAAGGAACTGAGATCTTTGGGTTATAAACTTACATTTCAAGTTTCAACAAAATCGGATAAAAATTGTGACCTTATAGGGTCCACAAGCTAAAAACGTGATTTTTCGTACAAACATGCCAATATCGAAAGCAGCCGAGATCTTTTGGAGATAAACCTATATTTCAAGTTTCGTCAAAATCGGATAAGAATTATAATACATCCACATGAAAATGTGGGCGTATAAAAAGGTTAAAAATCGGGAAAAAACGACTTTCTTCCAACGGAAGCAATGGAGTTGTGACACCTAAAATAACCTTTGCTTTTTGGCATACAATATGATGCAATTTGGTTGATTTTACACCACTTAAAGGCCAATATAGGCATCTCTGTATTTCAATCAGAACCTGTATCAGATAAATATTTTTTAAAATGTAAATTATCTAGTGAACAGGTTTGAAAACTCAGTTTGGTGCAGTCGCGGAAAATGGATCGATCTAACGGTCAACTCAGCTATCCCTTTATCAACCTCTCTTCTAATATAGCTTACTAGCTATCTACATCAGTGAAGCAATAGGCTACATTGTGGGATATTTAACTTCATTTTTGTATTGTTAAAAATGTGTAAAATGCTATCTTCAGCTGGCTAGAAAGATACTAAAGTATTTTCGCTGACAAAATAATAAACAAGAATTGTATATACCGTATTCAAATCAGCCAAGGATCAACTGACTGTGACTGTGATAAGAAATGATCATTCTTCGCAGTTTAACAGCAAGCGCCACGCAGAGTTGCACCCCCTGAAAATTGCTTCCATATTCAGTGACGGCGAGACTGATTTTGACATGTTATTTTTGTATGACAAATTGTCAGTTGAGGGATTTGATTATGGTACCATTGAAAATCCACTCAATAATATCACCTTTTTTATGTTTCTTGTTGAAATATGACGAGAGCGTTAACTGTCGTTTTTCAGACATTATTATTATTATTATTGGGTGTAGGGTCGGCTAGTTGCTACATATTTTATTCCATGTCAGTTTACTGACATATAATGCTTGAAAACTAGCCGGTATAATGACAGTTTTCGAAAGAATATGTGTCAAATAAACAAATAAGCCTGTTAACTTTTTTTTTTACACTGGGTATAAATCTAATTGATGGTTAAGATTTCGAGTAGAGTAGGTGAAGAAAGGGATGACACAATATTAAACTACACCGGTAACTCTTTTTGAAAGGAGATACAGAATATCGCCGGTTTCTTGATTATCGCATTGTACGTTTTAACTTGACTACAGTACACCGGATAACTGTGACGCTGTTTATTGTTGGGGGTGCAGTTTGTAAGCTCACCGGCTACCAGACCATTTATACTTAAGGCAACACAAATAAAATAAGTTGTTTCTCGGGCACCGCCCGCACGCAAAATTGGTTGCGCGTGCGGCCTATTTATTAGTCTTGATGAAAAATAAAAAATATGTAACGCCCGCCCGAACATCGATAAGCAAGTCATAAAAAAAATATGCCGCATGTTCTACATGCCCCATACGTGAATATCCATTCAAATGTATTAAACTAATTCAGATGTAAACGCTCATTTACGGGTCTTTTTTATTGATATCGAAAGAACCTCCATTTTTGTATCACGTGATTTTAATTACCTCCCCTTGTGAACTAGAATTTGATTCTTGTTGTAAACGCCGAAAGTCATTGACAACAATGCAATGTATTTCAATCATTCGATCTTAATCGGCTCATTATTGCCGGCTTCAGTCGGTCCATGTTTGAAAAAATCCTACTTATAAAACAATGAATCGTAGAACAGGTTAATTATTATAACTTGTGGCTACGAATACGATACGATGATAGTCACCATACCTTAGTCAGAATCTGGGTCATTAGCACATTTAACAGTAGTTTTGATAATCCGGAAAATAATAATTGGATTACACATTTGATGGTTTTACTGATGAGTTGTTAGTTAAATTTAAATAGTCATTCGATATAAACCCCAGATAGAACACCGAATATCCTGAGAAACACACCGAATAACCTGAGAAACAGTCATTTCCCGAATCCCGATGACACGTGACATGCATTGGTTGGAATTAGGTCAATCATTATAAACCAGCGATACTAGATTTAGATCGAAGTGTCGTTTACCGTGATGATTATTTTTGATACACATGCTGACAGAGGCTTACTCTTTAAAATATTGTCGTTATTATGGACGGCTATTAATAGTCGTACGGAATTTTATTTTAAACCAATTTCAATTATGGTTGTCACCATTACCATTAGTAAGCTACATTACGTGAATTAAATATGGAAAATTATTTTCCTTTCAGTCAGTGTTCAGTGTTTGAGTAGACTTGATTTTTGGGTTTATGTTCTAAGTATGTATAATATATAACTGAAAGCAAAACCGTAGACAAGTAATGACTTTCCCATTAAAAAAAAAAAAAAATACAAGGCCGCCCTCCCGCCCCAACAATTTTCAACAATAGGCAAATTTTATTTTGCACCATCCTCTAGCCAGAAATGAGATAAAAAAAAAAATAAAACGCCCTCCCCCCCTACAGTTTCAGCTGTCAGTTGCCCGAGAAACAAGACATTTATTTTGTGTAGCCTAAAGAAGGTGGAATCAAAATATAGCCGGCACAAGGAGCAAAGTAGGTGGGGAAAATCGCTGGACGCCAGCTCTTTATACCGTGCACCCCCCCCCCCCCCCGGAGTGATTTTTCGCCCAATCTGGGCCAATAATCCATGAAGTTATGGTTTGATACATGCCAATATCGAAAGGAACCAAGATCTTTGGGAGATATTTCAAGTTTCATTAAAATCAAATAAAGATTGTGATCTGTAGAGTGTCCACAAACAAATTGTGTAACGGATTAATGTTTTCCTCAATCACTAAATGCCACTTAAAGATTATTTGTATTAAAACAGCAATGTTTGAGGGCAAACATAGTATTTAACTGCTATGTACATCCAATTAGTTACTAGAATTTTAGTTTTTTAGAACTTACTAGATCAGATTCGGTTTGATTCTTGTATATTTCACTTTCTTCTGTTTGTTTTTCTAGGTCTATACAGCGTGATTTTACTTGTTCATTCTCAACTTCCAGATTCTTACATATCAATTGTAAATCATAGACTTGTCGAGTCAAATGTTCAACTATTTGAGTCTGTTTATTATCATGTTCAACCTGATTCTGAATAAAAGAAAACATTTTTTGAGGAAGGTAATTGGGATTATCTCTAATGTATTGTAACCAGCGGCTGCCAGACAGGATACGCCCACATTTTGCAAGAGGTGGATAGAGAACAAGCTAAAAACAAATGCGATTTTTTTGTACAATCAAGGGCAATAATCCAGAAAGTTATGGTCTGAACTGCGCAAATATCAAAAGGGACTGAGATCTTTGGGATATAAAGATATGTTTTAAGTTTTATCAAAATCGGATAAAAATTGTGACCTCTAGAGGGTCCACAACCTTCGTATTATATACTTTTACACAATTTGCGTACAAAGCGCGGCCATTTTGTTGGGCAGTTTCATTTCAATTTTCCCGAAATTCGAATTCAACCTTCATTACGGTGGAATCCACAAGCTAAAAATCATAGGCCATAATCCAGGAAGTTACGTTCGGATATGTGCGATTATCAAAAGGAACCAAGATCTTAGTGTTTAATGGTGATATATTCACACGTTTTTTTTTAAATCGGATAAAAATTGTGACCTCTAAAGAGACAAGCTAAAAAAGTGATTTTTTGTACAATCAAGGGCCATAATCAGGAAGTTACGATCCGATATGCGAGAATATTGAGAGGAACCAAGATCTTTGGGTTATAAACTTGTATTTCAAGTTTCATCAAAATCGGATCAAAATTGTGGCCACAACCTTGATATACCAGATGTTTACACTATTTGAGTACGAGGGGCGGCCATTTTGTCCGGCAGTTTTGACCCAATTTTCACGAAATTCAAACTTAACCATCATTACTGTGTAACGGTGATATATACAAACGCTTTTTTAAATCGGATAATAATTGTGACCTCCAGAGGGACCACAAGCTAAAAACTCAATTTTTAGTACAATCAGGGGCCATAATTCAGTTTTTTTTTTCTTTATGCGCGAATATCGAAAGGAACCAAGATCTTTGGGTTATAAACATGCATTTCAGGTTTCATCAAAATCGGATAAAAACTGTGACTTCTGGAGGGTTCACAACCTTGATATACCAGATGTTTACACTATTTGCATAATACGCCCACATGAAAATGTGGGCATATAAAAACAAGCCAACAGTTAGGCTAATGTCCCTCGCCATAATCCCAAAATAAATACAAGACACATATTAATTAATTGCACCCAATGCATTGACCAATGAAATGGCTTAGCTCAGCTTAGCTTTAGCAGGAAATGCTATCATTTAACTCAGTCAAGACATTCACCTAATGACCATCTACACCAAGTTTAAACATTCTATTGAACTTAGTCAAGGTATTGATATAATGAATTTATACTCTAGTATCATCACTCTCACCCAATTAGAACGGACAGGCCCATTTTAATAGTCTTCTTGCTTTCTTAGAAAGGCGGGGGACAAAAAGAATTATAATGCATTTTTAAAATATAAATCAATACAATTTCGAAAGTGGTCTATATAAATAAATGAGAAGTCACAGCCCTCTTTTTTACATAACCATTTATGGCTTAGTTTTTTCTTGCAATTTTAATAATAGAAGGCATTTAATGCAACTAGAAAATTGTTATATTATCAGGGAGGCTGATTCTTATTTATTGTTATAAAGGGTGGTACGATTGTTTACAGGTAACTATTCCATACTTTATTCTATTATGTTAATAATAGGGGCCATATAAAAAAATATTCTGGTTCTCAGATAATCCTGTGTCACTGTTTTTATATACCAGCTGATGCATTGAATAATTTCTTGTTTTGATGTATAACTGAACTGTTTACCTCTCTGATAAACATGTATTCACCATTCAGTCCATTAATTATGTATATTATGAATGTTACCTGATCAACATTATCTTGTAAATCTGTTACAATCTGACTAAGTTTTTCCCTTTCATCATTAGCAGCTTGAAGACTAGATGTCAGTTCGGATATATTTACATTTAAAGTTTCTTTTTCACTCTCAAGGTCTTTTATCTGACTTTCAAGTTGAACTGTAGATACAATACACAAAACATTAATGTCAACACATTTTATTTCAACAATTCACTAACATACAGGGATATTTAGAATTAGAAGGAACCCCGAATACCCAGAGAAAACACATCAGTTTAGGGTGGTAACCCTACATGTATGTCTGGTACAAGCATTGGATTGACCTATGATAACAGGTGACTTACCTCATTCCCTTTGAACATAACCCACAGGTTACTAGTATAGCAATAAAATCTATCCTTAGAACAAATTCATTAAGAAGGTGCGAGTTTCATACCCAATTTTGTCAGCTGCCATCTGATTGGCTTCCATGATATCTTAACAATTTGAAGAATAAAAAAATATTAGTTGTTCTTTTCTGCATTATTTGTTTAAAATGTTTTCAAGAGCACTTTGCTTATAACTGGTAAATCCCACCACCCCTCAAAGGTGGTTATAGATAACGGAAATAATTTGTGAATGATATTATAACTATTTAAGATGGCACGAACGTAATTATTACATAACATTATTTAAAACATTATCAATGAAGTAAGCATAGATTCAAAGATATTTTCTGTAGAGTTCTCTAACCTTGTAAAGTCTTCTGTTCTTCAAAGTCAACAAGTTTTAACTGTAAGTTACCCTTTTCATCTTCTAACTCAACCAACTGATTCTTTAAAGTAACAATTTCATCTGCAAGATTACTTCCCTGCAAAAATAATATCATGGGAATTGACACCATCCAAAATCAATTCTTTACCACATAGACCATTCACAAACAACGGTAATATTTTCAAATGAATGATGAAAAGACCCATTATAAGGTTTCAATTGATTTGTTGTGATCAGAAGTGACCAACCACAGTGTGTATTCCTATACAGACCTGAAGGACACAGAATATTGGACAAACGAACAAGGTACCATTTATTGTGTAACCTTATTCTAGCTGAATTCTACATTTTAAAAAGGGGATGGGTGGGGGGATGGGCTTATTTCAGCTGAATTCTTTGTTTCATGTGGTACAATGTACCTCCAATGTTTAATCTAGCCCAAAATTTTGAGACCCTTCATGGGTGTGCAAGGCCTTAAGCAGGGGAAAATTTGTCTGGTATGGATCAATTTGTATGTGGTACTTTTAAATGTTCTAGGCCAATTCCAGCATAGTGTATACAGGGCCAAACTTTTAGGGGTGTCTGGCAGGCCTTATACAGCTGGCAATTTGTCTGCCATAGGGTATTTTATATTTACCAGTCCATTTGAAGTAAACTTTAAATATATGTACTAGCCCAATTCTAGCATAGTGTCCACAGGGCCAAACATTTAGGGGTGTCTGGCAAGCCTTATATACAGGTGGCAAATTGTCTGCCATTGGGTATTTTATACTTAGCAGAATGTAACTTCATTTCAACTCCAAAGTTCACTGCAGCCCAAAATTAGTCAAACCATTTCTTGTGATCTGTGAAGTCCTATGCAGCCGAATATTCGCCTTGCAGTGTCTGTTCTGTACTCGTTGATATGTACCTTTTCATTTCATACTTTTCCATCCCATGAATGGCCTGGACCCTACACTTTTCAACCACTTTTTGTATCACAGCAAATCTGTTTCTCCATACTGAACTGACTGAGCACTTAATGTGTATATTATCAGTACGTTGGATAATGGTCCAAACAACTTGGTTTTATGCATGGGTGCAGAAGAGAATAGATTTACAGAAAGGGCTCATGATAAGCAAAGGGATACTGGTGAAATAAGTAAGTATTATACTAACCTGTCTAAGCCCTAAAAGTTCCTTTTCAAGGTGTTTTATTTTTGATGTCAATTGGGCTTTCATCTTTAACATCTTAGTTTCAGATTTATCAGATTTACTAGGTGTATTACTCTCTTCAGAAGATGCCTTCTTCAGAGATTCTATTTCTTCTGTTTTTTGTGCTATTTCAGCTTTCAGAAGATCCACAATTTTACATAGCTCATCAGTTTCGGCTGATGATGAAGAAGGTAAAAATGGTTGACTAGATGGCGGTTTACCTTCTTGTGACTTTTTAAGTTCATTGTAAGCTTGTTGATAGCGCTCTTGCAAGGCACTATATTGAACAGAGGCTTGTGCATAGGCAGTTTCATATTGAGTCAAGGACATTTGGAATGTTTGCATTTGGAGATCTTTTTCACTTAACTCAGTTTCATGTTTCTCAACCAATGTTTTCACTTTAGTTTCTAACTTAGTTTTTTCATCTTTCCACTGAGTTTCCATGTCAACGAAATTGGCCTGTAACAACATAAGCTGTTCAGAAGTCACTTGCAGTTTATCTTTCAGTGTCCTCAATGTTTTGCGATTTTGAATTAGTTCTTGATCTTTGCTGACCATTTCAGACTGCATGATCTCCACTACTTTAATTTTGCCTTCTAAAACTTCATTGCTGTCTTTAATCTTTTGTTCCATCATTTTCATGACAGTGTCTTCAATATTGACAGTACCCTTGTTCATGATGGATTGAATATCATGCTCATGTCTGTTGATGATTTCTCGTAAATCATTCTGACTCATTAACAGATCTTTATCTTTAGATGTAATACTATTCTGAAGTCTTTTAAGTTCAGTTTCTCTCTCATTAAGAGTTTCTTCGAAATATTTGTGCGATTCTGAAAGTTTCAAACTGAATCTTTCAGTTTCTACTTTTAGATCGTGATCTTTTTTTTGAAGCTGTTCTGTTAGTAAACTTATATTCTCTTCACTATTTTCAACTTTAGCTGTAAGTTTTGCTATTAACATAGCTTGGTCATGTATATTTTGGTCCTTGTCTTTTAAAGAAGTCTGAAGGATCTACATAAAAGAAATGAAAAAAAAAAAAAACAAGCCAACAGTGAGGCTGATGTCCCCCGCCAAAATACCAAAATAAATAGATGACACATTAATTTATCGCACATTTATTTTTTTTAAAGTATCAAGCAATCAAACTGATTATCAACTATACACTTAAGTTTCATCACTCTCTATCAAAGTTATCTTGTCCTAAAGCATCAATCAACAAGGCATTGACCTAATCAACACATACACCAAGTTTGAACATTCTAGCTCAATTAGGAAGAGAGTTATCGTGCCCCAAAGTATCAACCAATCAAATTGCTTATCTCTGCTTACCATAAGCAGAAAATGCTCATCTAATCAAATTGCTTATCTCTGCTTACCCTAAGCGGAAAATGCTCATCTTCGAACTCCATCAAGGCATTGACCTAATCAACACATACACCAAGTTTGAACATTCTAGCTCAATTAGGAAGAGAGTTATCGTGCCCCAAAGTATCAACCAATCAAATTGCTTATCTCTGCTTACCCTAAGCGGAAAATGCTCATCTTCGAACTCCATCAAGGCATTGACCTAATAAACACATACACCAAGTTTGAACATTCTAGCTCAATTAAAAGTTATCGTGTCCCAAAGCATCAACCAATCAAATTGCTTATCTCTGCTTACCCTAAGCGGAAAATGCTCATCTTCGAACTCCATCAAGGCATTGACCTAATCAACACATACACCAAGTTTGAACATTCTAGCCCAATTAGGAAGAGAGTTATCGTGTCCCAAAGCATCAACCAATCAAATTGCTTATCTCTGCTTACCCTAAGCGGAAAATGCTCATCTTCGAACTCCATCAAGGCATTGACCTAATAAACACATACACCAAGTTTGAACATTCTAGCTCAATTAGGAAGAGAGTTATTGTGTCCCAAAAAGTGTGACGGACAGACAGACGGACGGACGGACAGACAGACGGACAGACAGACGGACAGACAGACGGACAGACAGACAGACGGCGGGGGACAATTAAAAATAGCTGTTACATTTAATGTCAAGAAGCAATTTATAAGAGCTGGTTATTGTTTTTAAAATATTAATTTCCCTGATCTGTAGGCACAGTGTGAGCACTAGCCACTTTGCCAACAGCGATTTTTAAATCGTGTGTAGCAATAATTATTTTAAACAAGTCGCCACTTTGGTGAAAAGGCCTTTGTGGTCCTGTTACTTTTCCCTTTCTTCACATAGCACTTGTCATTTTAATAAATCATGGGAAGTTAATGTCTTTAATTTCTGCTCAAAGTTTTCTATACATTATTAGCACTTGCTGCTAAGCCTGAGATACATTGTAACTTCAACCGATTGACAAATTAATTGTCTTACAGTATTTATTAAAGATGGGTTCCCAGAAAAGTATTTATCGGGTGGTTATTTCCAATAAAAGTATGGTAATTTTGATATATATGGAAAGTAGAGATATCCAATCTTACTAGAAAAATACTGAATTCCCCGAAAAACACTCATGGAGCGTATACAGGACAAAAATGTAAGGGTTCCCCTAATCAACTACCCGACGATTAGGAATTTCTGCACGCGTGATGTCAAAGGTCACACACGAACATTGAGCGCTTGATGTACAAGTTGATAAACTTTATGAAGACATACAACACTTTCTGAGATAAAAATGACGGAAAAAGACGCGGGTAGTGGATAATCCGAGAATTTAATTAGGATTCGATATTTGTAATAAATAGTAAGCGATTAAAGACAACATCGTCTTATGTATGCAATGAATTCTCCTCTGACTTCCAAGAGAGGTAAGTCACGTGACGTAAACATGACCTGGTTTGATCGAATTTTTATAGGACATTCCTTCGCAATTACAGTGTTTGAGACGGATTTAAAGCGAAGTTATGACAAATTAATTAGTTTGAATATGTTTTTAGTCCATATATACCATTAAATCACCCAGTTTGTACGCGGGAACCCATCTTTAACCATGTTACTCCATAAACAAAATCTTACAAGGAAACAAAATAGTTTTTTTCTTCAGCATTTTTCAACACATTCTGTACTGTTTGTTAAAACCACAGCATAGAAAGCATTATCACTAAATACTGCGTGGATAATGCATTTTCATTGGATAAGAGATAAAATAGGTTTTCCGGATTGTAACTCCCAGCCAATAAACAAGGTGCATCCTTAAAATAGTTAGAGTTTGTGAAGGAGATATATGTATCTGTTGTCCCACATTAAATCTACCTCCAATCTCTAATATATTCAAATGTGTTCAGCACTATAAGTAATGTCAATACTACTAATACTTTACTTACTTCAATAACTTTATCTCTTCCTCTAATAACTTCATTTTTTTCACAAACATATTCTTGAAGATCCATTACTTGCCGATCCATTTCTAATATCTTATTGTTTAATTCAAGTAATTTTTTATCTTTATATACAATCTGAGCATACATTTCATTTATACCAGACTGAAATAATAAAAAAATATCCCTAAATCTAATTTAAAACCCTCACCTTTAAATACGGACAAGGACCTTTTATATTAGGTCAGTTGTGTATGCCCTACAGTAACAAAGTCGTTCATGCTAAATTTAAAAACATTGTCAACAAATCCCACAGAGCAAACTTTAAAACATCTATGAACTCTGTACTAAGCTTTAAAGTAAAAAATGTAAACACAAAAATAACTGAATGTTTTAAAATACAACGGGATTGATCCTTATGTCATTATAAAACAAACTTGACCAGTTTAAGATATATTTCAGGAATTTGAAAGGAAACAGGCTGATAAATCCCAAATATACATCAAATTATTCTGAATTTCCATAGGGTTCCTCATAACATGTATGTCCCTATTAAAAATCAAACCAATGTGAGAGTATAAAATAACGTACAGACCATTGATGCTATTTCGCCCATATATACCGGACATGTACTACTCTATTTTCCAAACGTCCGACCAGGAATATGCCCAATCTGTCTTGATTGGCTGACTTAATCCTATGTCGGACAATTCATCAATCCAATCCTGAACAGAAGTCATTGCTTCTCCTTTGACAGACTATTTATCAATCCAATAAGAGTAATTATAAACTCAATCTACGTGATTACCGTACCTCATGGTTTTTCCATTGTCAGACATTTTAATCTCCTTGATGTCAGCTGACAGCTTGTAGAAAATAGTCATAGATGTCAAATATCCTAATAGTATATACCCCAAATCAATGGACAATCATTATAACTTTCAAAATCCTTTGGTTCTTATTTACTGACCAATCCTCTACCAAGAAAATGTGACGAAGCTGACACACCATATAGAAATTCCTATCTACAGTAGCATTTTCCTGCGATCTCGATGTCATATACTGCGAAACTATCAATAGTGTAACCGGTCACATAGGAATATAAAAGACATGATAATATGTGGAAGTTGGTTTACGAGTGATGAAACTACCAATGTTTTGCTTTCATTTGCTGCCGTATAAACGAAGACGCCCAATTTTGGAGAAATATTACTGATGTGAATTACAAGCCGGAACAGGTCTGCATTTTTTTTTTCTATTGTATTACTAAAACACAAACACCTAATTGTATAGGAATATCACTGACATAAATTTGAGAGAGAGAGAGAGAGAGAGAGAGAGAGAGAGAGAGAGAGATGGGGTTTAACGTCTACTCAACACAAACTAGGTCATTTCGGGATTAACACAATTTTATTTCAATAATTCGCTTGCTCGTAGGGGTCTTTAGCAGTGGGAGTAAACCGGAGGACCCGGAGAAAACCCACAAGGTTAGACAGGCGACCCTACTCCATGTCACGTACAACCGAGGAATTGAAACCCCGCCAGTTGACTCAATGACAGACCATATGATACAGCGCGTGTGTGCTAACCATTCGGCCATCCAACCCCCCCCCCCCCCCGACATTAATTTGAATACCGTACGGGAATTAAATATGAAAAATAGTGAGGTGTACCTACTTTTATTACGTACAAATTTGAAAATTTTGTTTACACATGATTTTGGAGGAATATTACTGGCATGAGGTAGAAGCAAGTACAGGTCGGCACACTTTTTTACTATCATATTAAGAAAACACATAATTTTGTAGGAATATCTCTTGACATAAATCTGAATACCGTACAGGAATTAAACATGAAAAATAGTGAGGTGCACCTATTCTTATTACGTACGAATTTGAATATTTTGTTGACATGTGATTTTTAATTGTGGTATGAACCCATCTGCTTAAATAACGATAAGAGTTATGCCCCTTTATTTTCTGTAAAAATGTCCCCTGAGAAAAAATTTTGAAATTGCAACACCGGTACAGACAGACCAAATTTTTGAATTTGAAAAACAAAAAGACAAAGATGACAACAATATAAAAATATTTGTAAAAATAAATTGAAGATGTAAGTGATAAAAACTAGACTGCACAGTAATGAAAACAATGAGAAAAACTAATTCTTACATCTCCTTGACCCGATGATTGTAATTTTTCCATTGCACTGGTTTTCTGTTCTAATTGTTCTTTAAGATCAAGAAGGATGGTTTCTCTTTCAACTAAAATATTTTCCTTTGACTCAATTTGGGATTCACGAACTTTAATAATTTCATCTTTGTCTGCAATGATTTTATCTTTTTCTTCCAGTTTCTTTTGTAACAATTTCGTTTTGCCTCTATCTATCTGACTTGTACTCTCTACAACTTCTTGGCCAGACTGAAAAGAAATTTAAGACATTTGTGTTACAGAAATTAATATACAGTGCAGAACTAACTGTCCAAGAAAATGTCGAAGTCAATAGCAAAGATCTACAGAGCAACATAAAAATATATATAATGCCTCAAGTGCCAAATTAATGTGGATGTCAAAACAACTGTTCAAGTATGTGAATCTGTCAAAGAACATTGTCCTGATCAAGGTGGTGGTATATGGTACTCGAGAAAGAGTAAGCATATTTTCCCTTCTGCACAAAACCAAACATGTAGTTATGAGACCAAGACAGTCAGATGGTTTCATACAGCTATGTTCAATTCATTCTTCGTAACCTAGATTACCTCACCTACAGTACACTTCTAGTGGAAGTACTAAATTTCCCCGAGGTCCGACCTGGGCGGAAATGAAAAATCGCGGACGTCAGATAATCAATCCGCTCTGGCCACGCTCAAAATTTCGCTCTAAATTTCCTCCGCGAATTCAAGTAAACCGCCGACCTCCGCGATTATTTTAAACCGTCGCCCACCGCGAAATCTTAAAAAGTCGGACTTTCCATGCATGTACAGTCAGCACATCCATAGCTGGTTTGAAATGGGTTTATTTATCGTGCGATTCCACGGCAGTGATATTGTAGTCGAATATCGGCTAATACGGCATCCAAAAAAAAAAGATTGTTAATTTAACACGGTTAGACACGCAGATTTTACTGGCTTATATTGAAAAATAACAAATATCAAACAGGCTTTTAAATAATAAAATAAACAGAATTATGGGTGTACCGATATATTACTTCATCAATATGTTCGCTATTTCAAACTCATTCAAATTACGAAAATTTCAAAGTTTACACACATAGTACATAGATGCTGTTCTTACCGTGGGCGAAAGTTTTGTCCATTGAAATAGCCATTTCCATTCTGACAAATAAGTCACACAATGGATTTTAAAATGATAAATCACACCTGAACAAGTAATATATCTTCAGGTTTAAATCACAAATGAATTAAATGCCTTCATGTCCTGTTTTTAAGCACACATAGCCAGAAGTCACCATCAACCTTGCTGAACACGTTCATAAACACGTATTACTCAGATAATACCTTGATGGCCTTTTCAATTCGGCACCAAAGAGTCTGAGTCAATGCATACTGTCAGTCAAGATTCCTAATTAATTACGTGAATTCACACGTGTCATCAAAAGGAATTGATAATTGACTAAAATAGAAGCCCCTTTAACAACAAATTGTTACCATGTCGTATTCTTGTAAACAATACTTTTATTCTGAATTGTCAGTACGTAATCATTATCCAAAATAGTTGACCTCATTATTAAAGAACAATTACAATTGGGACGCGACCAATCTGGATTTTCACACAAAATAGGTGCTGTTGTCATGGCTAAATCACGAACGGGCTACGATGAATAGCACACCCCCACACCCCTACAATATACATCATGTATTACCAGTAGGTTACAAATACATGACATTTAATTTTGGGGACATAAAATTTATATTGAACGTTGGTTGCCGAATCGTCATTTTAATTGAATTATTGTTAAACTAAATATTGGGGAAAAAATATACCTTCCTCGCCAGTTATGCCAATTCGTTTATTTCTACGAGTATCGTTAAATTCTTGTTCATAATTAAAACTGATAATAAATCAGTATATAAAAAAATCTCCAGCATATTTTATGACATCCACGTGCAAATCGCTACCTTCTAAATACATGTATGTTTATTGTCGTCCATTTTCAGACAATGTTATCAGAATTCCAAAACATGGTTTCATTGTCTGCTTGTCGGATTAACTAATGACATCGAAAATTGCTATGTGTATGTGCTTTGTGGTACAATTCACGAATTAAATACCCATGTACATTATAAATGAATCCAGCATTACGGACATTTTAGGAAACGAATGCAATACATTGGTACACTTTAGTTATTTTTCAAAACGCAATTTGAAAAGAGTATTATGAATGAATTACCGGTGAACTAAAATGAAAAATATACTCGTGATATTGTTCCATTAGATATGTGTTTCTTTCTAATAACGTTGTGACAATATGGACTAAATTACTCTGACTATTTTGAATCACTGTGGACCATAATCCTCCGCGAATTTTATGTTTCCACCGACTATAATCCGCCGCGAATTTCATATTTTTTAGCGGACAACAATCCACCACGAATTTTATATTTTCGCAGACTTTCTTCCTCTCAGAACATCTCTAATTCCGCGGAGTGTATATGAGAAAAACATGGCGAATTTTGAGTGGAAAAACGCCCGCAAGGACTAATTTCATACTTCCGCTAGAAGTGTACTGTATTGGTGATTCAGTTTATAATTGCAGTTGTCCACAATGGTTTTGTAAATGCAGATACATTTTTGTTCTTTAATAGAATCATGTTCAAGTTGTGAAAATTATACTACTTTAGATTTGGAACTTGCTTCTACTTCTGGTGTCATTCCTTTCTTTGCATCTTCTAGTTGATGTGTTAATTTTGTTACTTGAGCCTTGGCTTGCAATTTCATTTTAGACATTTTAGCAGTGGACTCCTGAAACATCAATCAAAAAAAGTTAGTTATTTTTATCAAACAAAAAAAAGATGGCTTGTCAATTTTTATATCTTGACTAGATTATATGGAGTTTAATTTATAATATATTTTGCCATTTTAGTTATTTTTATCAAACAAAAAAAAGATGGCTTGTCAATTTTTATATCTTGACTAGATTATATGGAGTTTAATTTATAATATATTTTGCCATTTTAAAATGGATTACCATACAGTCAATACAGTGCAGAAATTACCTTGGCAGCAAGTAAATACAGTAGAACTTGTATTAAGCAAACACCCTAGGGAAATTTAAAAATGCTTGCTTAATGGAGGTGCTCTTTGACTAGAGGTATCCAATATTACGCGACCACTTTTACCTTCATTTGATAATTGTATCACTTTGACACATTCTTCAAGTGTCAAAACTTTTCAAGTAGGTGCAAGAACTTTACGAGGTGTAGTAATATTAGACATACATATTGATAAACAATGTCTTATCAATTCAGACTCTTTCTTATATATCATCATTGGCTTGGATATGAATAGAATATTGATTAATGGTTAAAATCATCAGCTTGGGGTGTTAGTAAACTTGTTAATTAGTGATAGTTAGTCCAAGCCAAGTGAGTAAATTGTGTCAAGATTAGTGACAGTTCAGTCTCGTTCGCTCAAGCGAGAACGTGATTTTTTGGTGCTTGTTGAAGCAAGTGTTCGCTGATTAGGAGTGCACGCCCGAGCAAGTTCTACTGTAACCACTTCAGAAAAGGTTATCACACCGTTACTCAGAAGGCCTTTTCTTCTTCATTAAAATACATTTCATACAAATTCTGTGATTTCAATAAACCAAACAAGTTTGTATTTTTGTTTACCATGGAAGGTACATGTATAAATACAAGTAGGAAATATGATTATGATGAGAGATCTAGCTATTGAGATATGACACTTCTACGTTTTTAAAGAAATACATGTTCCGTTTGTGAATTTCTAAATACAGTACAAACATAGACATGGGCTTTTTGGTTATCCATGTTAGCTCTAAAATCAATATCAAATTAGTCAAATTTCAAAAAATTTTATAGACAACTCTTTCAGGGAACATATTCATAAGTTTTAAAAGTCAAATATTAACAAGATATTGCCACATTCTACCAACTTCTCTGTACTGGTTCCAAGAACTCTATCCTGTTTCCATTAGTTAAATAGTTTTATCATAAATGGATTTGTCATCGAACAATTCTGAATTTTGACAGTGTTCTTCCTTGTTATCCAACGAACAATTTTGAAAAATATCTGTCTAAAATTGCATCTTGCAGAGTGTTCACAAGAAATTGTTGAAAAATACAGAATGACAAAATTGACAACAATATACATCGATATGTCTTACATATCATCATGTACTTACTTTAAGTTCAGCATCTTTTTTCTGTAGAGATTCTTCTCTCTCTCTGATCATGATCTTAAGATGCTCAATGAGCTTTTGCTGTTCAGCCATTTCCAGATCTATATCGGCCATCTTAACTTCTAATCTTTCTTTCAAATATAAAACTATTCCTCAAAATTTCTGAATTAAAAAAGCAACTAAGAAGCTTTAATGCATGATTTGCATAATCAGTAATTTACTTAAAATACAACAATTACCAAATAAAAGTTTATACTGAAATAGAAAGCTACTTACATGTATATGCCTATATAGAATTAACTATTAATTATCAGTCAAAACAGAATTTTAAAGTTTTAGTCATTAGTATTGTACAAATATTTGGTAAGATATTTGCTCTTCAAAGGAGCAAACTTCTTTGCCTTTGGTCACATAACTACTGAACAGGGTTATACATTTCCATTTTTACGGTACTAATAATCAAAAATTAAAAATAATTTTGATTATAGGCCTACATCAATATTAAGCAAACTGCAAAGATAAATCCAACATCATTTAACGGATCCCCATTTTTGGAGTAGGCCTACACTGATATATACTTGAATGCATATATGTAGGTCCCAGCATAAAATATGTTGTTTACCTTTACTTATTCATGTGAAACAGCCACGTCGTCATCTTCACTTAAATGTGTCAAGTAAACATGTAACATAACGTACCTCATTCTCAACTCTCCAAATAATCGAAAGTTTACTGATAGTTATCACTTACTTTAAACAAATGTACGTCGAAGCAAAATTTTAAGGTATTGAAAATCTACTTAATCAATATGTATCTGCACAATACGTAAAAATTTCACACCTGTGTGTTGACCTGCCTAATATGTCAGACTCAACATGGCATGTCATGTCATTTTTTTCCAACAAATCAGTCGTCGGCAGCATTTGGTAAAGCGGTTTAGGGGGTTTCAAAGGACTATTTTAACGTATCTAGTAACTAATATTCTATCCTTACCATGCTTATATCGAAAAAATCATAACTTTACGTTCATCGAAACATAATTATTTTAGTTATCATAGCTGCCGAGCTGGCAAAAATACGTCTCCAACTACACCGCCATCTTGGGTTACACAGTAAATCACGTGACAACAGTTGCTCGTTAATTGGAGTTAGTTCCCTTCTGTGTTGCAGCGTGAATGAGTATATTGCCTTGCTTCTTCTAATATTCCGTATTTAACTAACAATATTATCTGAAAAAAAAGATATTCTTATATATGTCCTAATATCGATTATAATAGGTTTTTCACGTAATGTTTCCCACCATTCATGTTTCTCGTTGACCAATCCGTCAGTACACGTAATCAAGTTTCGCAAAAACGCTCAAACCAGTATCAAGAATCAGCAACACATTGTACTTCCGGTATATCATGAGTGACGTTTAATGGAAAGGTGAACTGATTCTACCTTGGATTTTGTGACTCTTTCAGCAATGGCCTCTTTAATTGGCAAATGTTTTGGAAGGGAGGCATTGCATTTACTACGTAATCATTTGAACACTGTTAAACCTCAAGTCAGGTGCCTAAATCTTCAAGAATATCAAAGCAAGATGTTAATGGCAGAAAACGGCATAAATGTCCAAAGATTTCAGGTAGCTTCAAGTCCAGGAGATGCTTTGGAAATCTCCGAAAAGCTGAATGTTGACGAGTATGTAATCAAGGCGCAAATTTTGGCTGGTGGTCGGGGAAAGGGAACATTCTCAAATGGATTCCAAGGTGGTGTTCATTTAACAAAAGACAAACGTAAAGTAAATGAATTTGTGGATAAAATGCTAGGCCAAACTTTAGTTACAAAACAAACACCCAAGGATGGTGTCAAAGTATCTAAGGTCATGGTGGCTGAGGCTCTTGATATTGAGAGGGAAACTTACTTTGCTATATTAATGGATAGAAAATATAATGGGCCTGTCATGGTAGGTAGTCCAGAGGGGGGAATGGATATTGAAGAAGTTGCTGAAAAGAGACCAGAGGCAATTTTTACTGACCCCATTGACATCCTTACAGGTGTTACTCATGAACAGGCCCTGAAAATGGCAAGCAATCTTGGATTTGTTGGTGATAAACAGAAAGAAGCTGCTGCCCAGATTCTGAATTTATACAAATTGTTTGTTAAAGTTGATGCCACTCAGGTTGAAATTAATCCATTTGGAGAAACAGACACTGGGAGAGTTGTATGCTTTGATGCCAAAATTAATTTTGATGACAATGCTGCTTTTAGACAAACAGAGGTATTTGCCATGGATGATATGGCAGAAAGTGATCCAAGAGAAGTGGAAGCTGCTAAAAGTAACCTGAACTACATTGGATTGGATGGCAACATTGCATGTTTAGTAAATGGAGCTGGTTTAGCAATGGCAACCATGGATATTATTAAATTACATGGTGGATCACCAGCCAATTTCTTAGATGTTGGTGGAAATGTTACAGAGAAACAGGTGTACGATGCCTTTAAACTATTAACAGCTGATAAACAAGTGAAAGCTATCTTAGTAAATATATTTGGGGGCATAGTTAATTGTGCCACAATAGCTAATGGGATAACAAATGCTTGTAAATCTATTAATTTAACTCTTCCCCTTATTGTTAGACTTGAAGGCACAAATGTGGAGGAAGCCAAACAAATATTAAAAGACAGCAATCTACCCATTCTTTCAGCTGCAAACTTAGACGATGCTGCAAAGAAAGCTGTTTCATGTCTAAGTTAACTTATATTATGATATATTGGACTTTATCCACACCAAAACTGGAAGGTAGTTTGTATAAAATAGTGATTATAGATAGTGATAAAATTAAAAGAATTTAATGTAATGGAAAATGGTGCAATGTAATCTATTAATTATACGCCCTCATGGAAATGTGGTCGTATATTGCCGTCGCCCCCGTCTGTCCGTCCGTCGTCCACAATTTCTTGTGAACACTCTACAGACTACATTTATCATCTGATTGTTTTGAAATTGATATGTTGTTTGCATTAGAGAGATGAAGAAGCCTATTTCAATAACTTCCGTTAATTACGCCTTGAGTAATGGCCCTTGTTTCACCTTCTTGTACCTTGTGAATGCTCTAACGACAAAAATTATTATCCGATCTGTATGAAGTTTATATGTATCATTTAAATTAGTAAATCGAACAAGCCTATTGAGTTTTAGCAAATTTCCATTAATTACATCTAGAGTTATGGCCCTTGTTTCACTTTGTTGAATCTTGTGAACACTCGAACGACAAAAGTTATCCCCTAATCTGTATGAAATTCATATGCATCATTTAAATTAGTCAAATGAAGAAGCCAATTGAATGTCAGCAAATACCGTCAATTACTTCTAGAGTTGGGGGATCACGTGGCTAAGTGGGTAAGACGCTAGCTCGCTAGCCTGGAGGTCGGGTGTTCGATCCCTGCATTGGCCGAGAAAGTTCATCCAGATTTTCCGGCGTGGTTCTCCCTTGTCAGTGATGCAGGATGGAGGGGCTGACAAGGAAAGCTGTCTAGTCGTTCAGATGGGACGAAAAACTGAGGTCCCGTGTACACATTGGCGTGCGTAAAAGATCCCTTGGCAGTTGGAATTCGATATAAGAGTAGGCCTTGTGCCGCTGTCCGGGCAAAATTTCCTTCATAGCACACTGTATGGCGTATGCCCATCTTCATTAGCCCAGGTTAGGAGCAGAACAGTAGGACGTTAAACTCCATTTCATTTCATTTCATTTTACTTCTAGAGTTATGGCCCTCGTTTACTTTGTTGAACCTTTGAACGTTCAAACGACAAAAGTTATCATCCGATCTGTATGAAATTTATATGCATTATTTGAATTAGTAAAACAAAAAAGCCTGTCGAATTTCAACAATTTCTGTAGATTATTTCCAGTGTTACAGCCCATGTTTTAGTTTTTAGAACCTTGTGACCCCTCAAACAGTCGGACGATTTAGCTGCTGTAGGCGTATGGTTTGTTGCCTGGCAACCTATCTTGTTACTTAATTATCTCCTAATTTTCAGATCCAGAGAATATGGAATATTTACTACAAGAGTAAATGTATACTTAATGTCTATGTATGTGTAAAAATCAACAGATTTAATGATTATGTATGCTCTAATTAAATTTTATGATAAATTTAACCAAAAGCAATTAAATCATTCAAGAACCAAAACTATTAGATTAATAGTAATAATAAAAAAAATGGTGGGGGTGGGGTCATTAAAACAATAAAATAACATTTTCGATATGTTACACACCTCTCGCACTCCCTGGGAATGATTATGACGAAAACGACGGTATAGGTGTCTACCCTACCGCATCGCATGACCCGTTGCATGGTTTAAGTGAATAAACTGCTGAAACAGAAATGCTTTCGATACTGCTACTTGGGACATATTGTTGGCCACAGAATCAAGTTTTGTGGTTTTACTTTTGATCTCCACTCCTCAGATATTCTCCTTATTTAGGATTCTGACATTACTGTTATCTTACGTGGCCATGGGGTAATGACGAAATTCTTCCATTGGATAACACATCGTGCAGTAGAGATTAGATGTTTTTAATGTGAGTTTATCTTTAAAATAGACATTGGCCGCTGATAGTATGATGATACTATTACTTCGTATAGGCGGGACAAGGGCGACGTTTGATCTTAGACACACCTAGATAACAAGTATCATCCCTTAACCCTCCGTTTTTCGAGATAAAGAGATGGTGCTATATAGTTCCACGTACCAAAGCCCAACGCAAATCACATCAGGCAACAGTAAGCAAAATTGACAATATTTTTCATCAAAACGATTGATTATTGTTATTTATAATATTTCTGACACATCCAACTACAATTAAGCAGATAATCCTACTTGAAACGGGTATAAATCATCGTATTTAAAATCCAAATTTTCCGACGTGATTCCCCCTTGTCAGTGATGTAGGATGGAGGGCCTGACAAGGACAGCTGTCTAGTAGTTTGGATGGGACGAAAAACCGCTCTCGTGTACACATTGGCGTGCACGTAAAAATGGAAAAATGAACCTACATAACTTTACTACAAAATAACTGTACGGTAGTAAACCAGCGGCTGTCAGGCAGGATACGCCCACATTTTCGAGAGATGGATAGAGAACAAGCTAAAAAGGGCCATAATTCATGAAGTTACAATTCGATATGCGCAAATATCGAAAGGAACCAAGATCTTTGGGTTATAAACATGCATTTCAAGTTTCATCAAAATCGGATTAAAATTGTGACCTTTACAGGGTCCACAACCTTGATAACCATATTTTTACACTATTCGCGTACAACAGCGGCCATTTTGTCCAACAGTTTTGGTCCAATTTTTACGGTGTAACGGTGATATATTCAAACGGTTTTTAAAATTGGATAAAGGCTATTTTTCGTATAATCAGGGGCCATAATTCAGGAAGTTATGATCCGATATGCGCAAATATTGAAAGGAAACAAGATATTTGAGTTATAAACATGCATTTCAAGTTTCATCAAAATAATGACCTCAAAAGGGTCCACAACCTTGATATACCATAATTTTAGTTTTACACTATTCGCGTATAACCGGCTGCCGTTTTGTTCGGAAATTTTGGTCCGATGTTCACGAAATTCGAACTCAAGCTTCATTAAATTGTATTGGTGATATAATCAAACGTTTTTTTTAAATCAGGTAATAGTTGTGACCTCCAGAGGGACCACAAGCTAATAAAGGCGATTTTTCGTACAGTCAGGGGCCATAATTCAGGAAGTTACGATCTGATATGCGCAAATATCGAAAGGAACCAAGATCTTTAGGTTATAAACATGCATTTCAAGTTTCATCAAAATCGAATTAAAATTGTGACCTCTACAGGGTCCACAACCTTTATACCATATTTTTATGCGCCCACATTTTCATGTGGACGTATATTGTCGTCGCCCCTGTCCGTCCGTCCGTCCACAATTGTTTGTGAACAGTCTACAGGTCACAATTTTTATCCGATTTCAATTAAAGTTGAAATATAGGTTTATCACCCTAAGATCTCGGCTCCTTACGATATTGGCATGTATATTGCCGTCGCCCCCGTCCGTCCTTCCATCGTCCACAATTTCTTGTGAACGCTCTAACGCCAAAAGTTATCATCCAATTGTTTTAAAATTGATATATGTTGTTTACATTAGTGAGATGAAGAATGCTATTTAATTTCAATAATTTCTGTTTTTAACGTCTAGAGTTATGGCCCCTGTTTCACTTTGTTGAACCTTGTGAACGCTCTAATGCCAAAAGTTAACATCCGATCTATGTGAAATTTATATGCAATATTTAAATTAGGGAAACGAAGAATCCTATTGAATTTCAGCAATTTCCGTTTATTACTTCTAGAGTTATGGCCCTTGTTTCACTTTGTTTAACCTTGTGAACGCTCTAACCCCAAAAGTTATCATCCTATCTTTTTGAAATTTATATGCATTATTTAAATTAGTGAAACGAAGAAGCCTATTTAATTTCAATAATTTCCGTTTATAACGTCTAGAGTTATGGCCCTTGTTTCACTTTGTTGAACCTTGTGAATGCTCTAATGCCAAAAGTTAACATCCGATCTTTGTGAAATTTATATGCAATATTTAAATTATGGAAACGAAGAAGCCTATTGAATTTCAGCAATTTTCGTTTATTACTTCTAGAGTTATGGCCCTTGTTTCACTTTGTTTAACCTTGTGAACACTCTAACCCAAAAAGTTATCATCCTATCTATCTGAAATGTATATGCATTATTTAAATTAGTGAAATGAAGAAGCCTATTGAATTTCAGCAATTTCTGTGTATTATGTCTAGAGTTATGGCCCTTATTTCACTTTATTGATCCTTGTGAACGCTCTAACGCCAAAAGTTATCATCCGATCTTTCTGAAATTTATATGCATTATTTAAATAAGTGAAACGAAGAAGCTTATTGAATTTCAGCAATTTCTGTTTATTACGTCTAGAGTTATGGCCCTTTTTTCACTTTATTGAACTTTGTGAATGCTTTTACATCAAAAGTTATATGCTGATCTGTATGAAATTTACGTGCGTCATTTAAATTAGTAAAGAGAAGAATCCTATTGAATTTCAGCAATTTCCGTTTATCACTTCTGGAGTTATTGCCCTTGTTTGACTTTGTTCAACCTTGTTAATGCTCGATTGATGAAAGTTATCATCCGATATGTATGAAATTTATATGCATCATTTAAATTTGTGAAACGAAAAAGCCTGTCAAATTTCAACAATTTCTGTTGATTACTTCCAGAGTTGAGACCCTTGTTTCAATTTGTAGAACCGTGTGAACCCTCACACAGCAAAAAATATAATCTGATCTGTATGGAACTGTCTTGTAAAGGCCCCCAATTACCTACAAAGGAAAAAATGTGCGACAACCCTTGTCGACCGCCGGACGATTTAGCCGCTGTGGGCGTATGTTTTGTTGCCTGGCAACCTATCTTTATCCGATTTAAAAAAAAAAAACCGTATTATTATATCACCGTTAAACCCTAGGGACGGCTGACTTCGAAATTGGTGAAAATCGGCCCAAAACTGACCGACAAAATGGCCACCCCTCGTTCTCAAATAGCGTAAAAATATGGTATATCCATGTTGTGGACCCTATAGTGGTCACAATTTTTATCCAATTTCAACGAAACTTGAAATATCGGTTTATCTCCCTAAGATCTCGGTTCCTTTCGATATTGGCATGTATCGGACCGTAACTTCATGGATTATGGCCCCTGATTTGGAAAAATCGTGTTTTTAGCTTGTGGACACCCTAGAGGTCACAATTTTGATCTGATTTTGATGAAACTTGAAATGCATGTTTATAACCCAAAGATCTTGGTTCCTTTCGATATTCGTGCATATCGGATCGCATCTTCCTGAATTATGGCCCCTGATTGTGGTCTCTCCAGAGGTCACAATTTTTATCCGATTTAAAAAAAAACGTTTGATTATGTCACCGTTACACCGTAATTATGGTTGAGTTCTTAGGGAGATAAACCTATTATTTCAAGTTTCGTTGAAATCGGATAAAAATTGTGAGCCCGCACAGCGACACTATGGCGTACTCTTATTTCGAATTCCATCTGCCAAGGGTTGTTTTACGTAGTGTTCGGATATTCGAACAAGAATACTATTCGAATATTCGACGGGTCTTGAAATTTTTATTCGAATAGTATTCGAATACTATTCGAATATTTTCAATTTTTAATATAAATATATTTAAAGTGGATTATATTCAATTTATTTTAATTTCTAATTAATTATGAAATACGTGAAATTTCTGTTGACATGCGATCAATGTACAAGATTATATTTTAGCAATTGCCAGTGGATCTTTTACGTAAACTGCCAATTTGTACACAAGACCTCGGCCTTCCATGACATTGCAACAAGTATAGACGCGGACCTCAACCATACTCCAGTCATCTGCCATCTCCGTCAGATGCTCTTTTAGTTTATCCGAGGTATGTGAACCTGGACATGATTTCACTTCCAGAGTCTTAGCCACCATCTCCCAATCTGGTGATACAAAATGAGCGTTTAAATTAATGCAAGACTCATTTTGTTCATCTGATGTCCATACATCTGTGGTCACAGCGGCTAACTTCAGACTTGGGTCATTGCTGATTTGACGTTCGTCGGAACGAACGGCATCATAGATTTCCTCCATTCTTTTTTTGAGTGTTTTACTTGACCACAAATTGTGTGATGGATTCAGGGCGTCTACAAATTCCCGAAAATGGTCATTGTCAATAAGACAGAGGGGCTGATAATGCTTGGCTACAAACTTGATCAATTTCTCAGTGATGTTTTTTGATGCGCTGAATCTTGTCATACTTCTTGCTGTTGCCTGAAGAACTTTGTGTTGAACTTTTTAATTGGCTGAATTTTTCCTGACCCCACGTCCCGTGCAGAGGAAGTATCTGGAGCTTCGTAGTCATGTTTCAACTTTATGTGGTTCCAAAGATTAGACATGATGTGATATTAGTCAAGGCCATGGAGGTGTATATATTGTCAATATATACACCTATATGGTCAAGACAGCCAACTCCATCGCGGAACTAACTGGCTAACCAAAGTAGGTAACAAGCAACTTACCGAATAACTGTCTCTGAAGACGTTGATCTGTGTAGGGCTAGCACCCTACAAGCTGCGGTTAGGTAATCTAAGTAAGCTTTGAATGTAAATGTGGCAAGGGAAGTCGCTTTTAATAATATTTGAGAGCAAATAGAATAAATAATAGATATTCAAAAATATTCGAATATGGTAATTGCTATTCGAATATTCGAATATTATATTCGACGAGCGAATATTCGAATATTCGTGCCGAACAATAGTTTTACGTGCACGTCAATGGGACTTCGGTTTTCGTAGTACGTTGTCCCTTGCCAGGCCCTCTGTTCTGCACCAATGACAAGGGCGAACCACCCCGGTAAATCCAGATAAACTTTCTTGGCCAATGCCGGAATCGAACACGGGACCCCCACTTACTTACTCACTGCTCAAGCTATACTACATATTTAAAATCTTATGACCCGCTATGTATGTAAATAATATAACAAATGTTTATGTTTTAAACATTTTATTCAGGGATTGTGGGAAGGGCATAACCCACATGACCCCTCTCCGAACAAATCTGTCAACAAAATTTGAATACAAGAATCACTCTATTTATGTATATAGGCAGGACAAGAGTGGCTTTTGATCTAAGAGAGAGAGAGACACACACACACACCACGCATGGAAATGTATATTTCGTTGAATCAAGTAACATGTACTTGAATGGTAAAGCCGAATCTTCGAAATACAGAATCGTACATAATTCGTTTTTATACCCCCACATGGAAATGTGGACATGTATTGCTGTCACCCCCGTCCGTGCGTCTGTCGGTCCGTCCGTCCGTCCGTCCCTCTTTCGTCCACAATTTCTTGTCAACGCTCTAACGCCAAAAGTTATCACCCAGTTGTGTTGTATATGTTGATATATGTTGTTTACATTAGTGAGACGAAGAAGCCTATTTAATTTCAATAATTTCTGTTCATTACGTCTAGAGTTATGGCCCTTGTTTCACTTTATTGAACCTTGTGAACGCTCTAGCACCAAGAGTTATCCGATCTTTCTGAAATTGATATGCATTATTTAAATTAGTGAAACAAAGAAGCCTATTGCATTTCAGCAATTTCCGTTTATTACGTCTAGAGTTATGACCCTTGTTTCACCGCTTTATTGAACCTTGTGAACGCTCTAACATCGAAAGTTATCTCCCATCTGTATGAAATTCACATGCGACATTTAAATTAGTAAAGAGAAGATTCATATTGAATTTCAGCAATTTCCGTTTATTACTTCTGAAGTTATTGCCCTTGTTTGACTTTGTTCAACCTTGTTAATGCTCGATTGATGAAAGTTATCATCCGATATGTATGAAATTTATATGCATCATTTAAATTTGTGAAACAGAGGTCTATTGAATTTTAGCAATTTCCGTCAATAATTTCTAGAGTTATGGTGGTTGTGAACCTTGTGAACGTGTGAATGACAAAAATGATCATCTGATCTGTATGAAATTTATATGCATTATTTAAATTAGTAAAACGAAAAAGCCTGTCAAATTTCAACAATTTCTGTAGATTACTTCCAGAGTTGAGACCCTTGTTTCAGTTTGTAGAACCTTGTGAACCCACAAACGGCAAAAATTATAATCTGATCTGTATGGAACTGTCTTGTAAAGGCCCCCAATTACCTACAAAGGAATAAATATGTGACAACCCTTGTCGACCGCCGGACGATTTAGCTGTCGAGGGCTTATGTTTCGTTGCCTGGCAACCTATCTTTTATTTTTTGCTCCAATGACCGAAACATTGTAAACGCACTATATGCTGCCCAGCAGCCAGAGATTCAAGGGTCGTAGAAATAGAATTAATGAGTGGAAAGTAGGGGTGAAAACTGGATCAAGAAATATTCGAGTGAACTACGGTTATTTTACGTGCACGCCAACGTGTACACTACGCAGGGCCCCGGTTTTACGTCCCACACGAACACCCAGACACCTCCTTGTCTGAAGTCCTTGTAGTTATAGAAATCAATCGCATTCCCCTATGTCATAATTCAACATAGAAACACAATATTTTCGCTTCTTATTCCGATTATAATTGTGTTAGAATTGTGATGTCTGTATACAAATATACAAATATTGTGTTTTAGTTTCCTTCTCAAATAATCCTAAAAGCGAGCGATTTTCACTTGACAATATCACCAGACGAAGCACTAACGAGGATGCAGGAGCGGATCCAGGAATTTTTGCTGGAGGGGCCTGGAGGCTGGAGTCCAGCCATGAAACTATTCAATTTTCAGACAACTAGTATCATTATGTATAGAATTCGTTGTAAAACTAATTCGGAAAGATTTTGATTTAACAGATTTTACGCATTTTCGAAACAGGTTCCGAAGTATTTTGGTTCTGTTATGCAAGATCATTTTCGACGTTCCAAAGTAAAAGTTCGGTGCCAAGACCACCTAAAGATAAATTTTAAATGTTCCTATTATTAATTAGAACAGGTTTCGCTTTAGTTTTTATATTTTACGCTGACATTTATTACTTTAAATCTTCATAGTGCTAAAACGAAAAATGTGACCTTTTGACCTCTGTGGTCACAAAGATGAATTTAGCAAGTTTACATTTTTATTGAAAGTGTGATTACTTTCGAGCATTTTTCACCTTATTTTCATGATACAAGAATGACCGCGCATTCACTTTCAGTGCAAATGAACCCATTTGACCTTTGATCCCGAATATCGCGAAAACGCCCCAACGGCGGACTGATTACCACTCGGCATCGTATTCTACGCAAAATTTTACTCTAGAAAAGTTGGGCCTGGTTTTGTGCCCATTTGATGGATACCCCCGCGCGCTGAGCCTCCAGACTCTTTGTCAGGTTGAAATATTTTGAGAAACACACGGTCTCTATCATCATTTTGGCGTATATACATACACAGTGAGCTTTTTAAAGAGAGAAATCAAACACCCCGTTTGACGTCAATTTTTATTTTTGAATTAATACGATGACATTGTGATTCAATTTCATTGATGCAAAGCATTAATTGTGAGATCACATAATATGTCTAAATCATTATCTCGCGCTTTGAATGCCCATCCCGTCCGTGACACGTTTCTCATAAAAAGTGTTATTCTACAATTTTTTTATGTAGCTGGGTGGGGGTGGGATGGACCCCCAAACCCCGCCTCTGGATCTGCCCCTGGGATGTATCGTTCTCTAATACAAAAAAGTTTTTCGGTAATGTCAATATATAGGCTAATGCAGAGTAAAGCTATATGATTTTCAGTGTTTTAGTCCATTTATAATAATATATGACTTTGTTGATTTTGGTCTCCTCTGGACACTTAAAAATGCATTAATTAGATATTTATTCACATGCCAAACCCATAATCAACTCTTATCTAGACAGTTAACAATTTAATTAAATAATGGATAATCTGGACTTATCGTAACAACGGTAGCAATGACAATCTAGACTACACTATATTTCAAACGGCCATAACTCCGCTCTAGATGAAGTAATTTGACTGAAATTTCAACATATTCCCTTTTCATTATCAATTTTTTTAACCTATTATAACGAGAACTGCTAGCTCTTTGTCTATATCTTACATAATGCATCTTTTACAAAATCATCTTTTACAAAATCACTTTTAGTGCAATATTGTCTTCATTTTAGTTGGATTACGTATATTGCTGTAATAGTTTTCATTTTAGTATAGTGCTATACAGTCCTCCTGGAGGGTTGGATGGCCGAATGCGTCATACGGTCTGTCATTGAGTCAAGTGGCGTGGTTTCGATTCCCGGCTTGTACGTGACAAGTAGTAGGGTCGCCTGTCCAACGTCGTGGTTTTCTCCGAGTCCTTTGGTTTCCTCCCACTGCTAAGGACCCCTAATGAAATAAAACTGAACCATATGTTAGTCCCGAAATGACCCAGTTTGTATCGAGTGGACGTTAAACCTCATTCCTCTCTCCCTTTTAGTTCTGTATAGGCTTGGCTTTAGTATATTGATATATAGTTTTTGATTTAGCATTATGTTATATAGTCTTCATTTTAGTTGGATGGCCGAATGGTTAGCATGTGCGCGCTGTATCATAAGGTCTGTCATTGAGTCAACTGGCGTTGTTTCGATTCCCCGGTTGTAAGTGACAAGGAGTAGGATCGCCTGTCCAACCTCGTGGGTTTTCTCCGGTTTCCTCGGACACATGTCCCACTGCTAAAAGATTCCTACGCGCAAGCGAATCATTGAAATAAAGTTAAACCATGTGTTAGTCCTAAAATGACCTAGTTTGTGTCGAGTGGACGTCTTGGTTTTAGTTTTGTGTTATACAGTCCCTATACAGTCAATATAGTTTTTAGTATATTGCACAGGCACTTGAAGGGATTAAAATAAAACTTCTTACTACTGTTTGACTATATATTATAGTACAGCAGTAGTAAGAAGTTTTATTTTAATCCCTTCAAGTGCCTGTGGTATATTGCTATATAGTTTCATTTTAGTATAGTGCTATATAGTCTTGGTTTTAGTATACATGTAGTGTTATACCGTGTCTCCTTATAGCCTGTATAGTTTTGGTTTTAGCTAGTATATTGCTATATAGATTTCGTTTTAGTATGGTGTCATATAGTCTTCATTTTAGTATAGTGCTATCTAGCCTTGGTTTTAGTTTAGTGTTATACTATCCTCCTATAATGCAATATAGTTTTGGTTTCAGTATATGGCTATATAGTTTTCGTTATAGCAAGCATAGTGTTATATAGTCTTCATTTTAACATAGTGCTATACAGTCTTGGTTTTAGTATAATGTTATATAGTCCTCCTTATAATGCTATATAGTCTTTGTTAGCATTACTGGGTGACATTAAATCACAAATTGGGGTAAAATCTTAAATAAACCACAATCTCATCTATTGTTGTTCCGTTCTTCAAACTGAAGATTTAAAGGTGTTTTTAGCGTTGCTAATATTTTGTAGAACACTTCTAATTCCTCATCCGGGTTGGTCAATGTAATTCTATATCTAAGAAGAAGCTATAAATAAAGAAAATCTGGGTAAATATACATCAGCAGCAATGAATTTCTAGCAATTTGATCCAAACATGTAATTACATGTAATTACTGCTAAAGATGCGTTTGATTGGACTTAAACATACATTATGCAAGAGCTAAATCTGTCTATTGAAGGTCTGTCTTTAGGCCTAAAATGTTATCTCAATTATTAATTAGACATTAATTAACCTATCCAGACCATAATCAACTCTAGATGGCATCGCTAGCCTGCGATTTTTAGTGGATTATGAGCCGATTTAATGCATAACTTTTCTTCACGAGTTAACGATTAAACGCATACGCGAGACTATGCTGTTTATCGTACTGACTTTAGTAATGATGATCGAGGCTAGGCGGAAAATTCAATCGCTTAGTTCACGGTTCATGGTGGATCAATTTGAATGAAATTTTCAGCAAATTGCCTTTACATTATCTAGTTTTTAACTATTATAGTGAGAACTGCCAACTCGTTATCGAATCTCCCATAATGTATCTTTATTTAAATTCAACAAAATGTGGACTGAAAGGCGATTAAATAAAACAGAACACTAAGAAATAATTTGAACATTAGATGGCCGCAAAAATTGAATGAATAAATTTTAGACCAACATGCTTTTTGATAAGACTACATTTTAATGTGTATGGGTTACAAATCTAGTCTGGATTTATTGCTTCATTAAGCGCCAACTTGAACAAGAGAAATGGCATTTAGTAGTGATTGTAAACATGATTAAAAGTTGGTTTATGCTAGGTTTCCACACAGGTGCCTGTAACGTGGAAAATATTTCAAAAATAACATTAGGCCTAAGCTATATGACTAAGTGTAATGTCTAAAGTCTGTTACGACCATGTGGTCTGAATCCTATTTCTAATTCAAGGGCAAATAACTCGCCTGAAACCGATTCTCTTTCAGTCGATATAATAATATTACCAAGCTGAGAAACGGTTGGAATTAAATAATTGGGATCAAACCTCACTACTTCCGTCAACTACTGACAATACTAAATTTCGCTAGTGATCTTTTGTACAATTGTATTTTTGTAAAACCAGGGGCCATGATCCAGGAAGTTACGATCCGATATGCGCGAATATCGACAGGGACCGAGATCTTTGGGAAATAAACCTATACTTCAAGTTTCGTCAAAATTGGATAAAAATTGTGACCTGTAGGGTGTCCACAAACAAATTGTGAATTTGGGCGTATACAAATCGTGTGCGGAAACCCTGCGTTTTTCTGCTGGTGAAAAAGTGTACATGGAAAGCGGGTCTAGAATTTTCTGTTATTATCTTAGTAATTATTACAAGTATGGTTACTAATTCTATGTAGTCAATGGTTATTGAGATTCATATCTTTACCTTTATCACTGCTACGTAAATCTGGTGTTCGGCAAAGTGTCGGCCTACGCAACTTCTAGGACCAAAGCCAAACGGTAAGACAATGAAAGACTGGCGTCGTTTCAGCGTAGTATTTGACTTCCGTAACCATCTTTCTGGCTCATATATGTCAGGATCATCGAAATATTTAGGATTCCGACACATGGTGTTATTGGCAATGTGAGCTATTGTCTACAATAAAGAAGAAAACAAATGTTGACGAAATTAGAAATGGTGTTTAATGTCATACTGTTCTGCACCAACCTACCTAATTAGACCGAGACGGCGCCAAAGTAAAAAAAAAAAAAAAAAAAAAAAAAAGAATATCCAAATTTGGTGTCCAACGTAATTATCTAATCGTGCAGAGTATAATTACCTGACATATCTAGATATAGGAATATTACATAATTGTTTGGCATTATGTTATCCTATTAATGATCTTTTAGGAGTGTTCAAATTAGTAGGCGACCCGTAGGCTCGTAGCATGGTGCCTGCCTGTCATGTAAGGATAATCAAGAAATCGGCGAATAAGGTAAGCCGCTATGCTGATGATATCTGAATGAGCCGCGCCAGCATGAGTCGCTTTGTTTTGTTTACGCGCGTTTCTTCGATACCAAGTTCCCGTCTGTGTCAATCATTCATTCACGCAAATTTAAAACTGCACGGGTTATAAGGAAGGGGTTATCCACCTCATCGCTATAGGAAGATGGAAATAGTTCAAAATTAGCTCGAGCTCTTGTTGGTACCAGAGGCTGCATAATGTATCGCCATTTTCCTGGGACCTGCCCTTTTATACCCCGGTTACGGTTTAAAAGAGGCCCTGGTTTATTTGTTCGCCTACAAGGCGCCGGTTCAAATGTAGGTGCCTATTGTGTCTAACATAAGGTACACGTGCAGCCTATACTGTAATTCTATGAATAGAATAATAGAATACCTATAATTCACTTGATATTTGATAATACAGCTGTATTGCCCGGCTTAGAGTTCTCCGCGTAAATCAAAAGACACTCTCTACTACCCTCAAGATGATATCGCCGGGAGGAGTCGAAGAAGGAAATTTCAGAAAATTCAGCCATAAAACCCTACCTGAGGCACTTCAATTTGAGGCCCAGGAATGCACTGCGATGCCAGGACCGCCTGACACCCCCCCCCCCTGCCCTGGCTCGCGCCTTCGGAGCTTCGCGGTGGCCGGCTTAGGCGGAGACATCCCCAGCCCTTCCAAAAAATTCCAGAGCCCCACCAAATTTGACAAGCTTGCTACGGGCCCGTTAATGATATACATTTTTTAAAAACAAAACGGACACAAACCTAAACTAAGTTTACCGACCGGCTATAAGTTGCTAACTTTTATGGAGCTGAATTTCCCTCTTAATTCTAACTCCTAAGCTAGTAATGCGTATGCTAATATGCTTACTTCTGTGGATGTAAATTCAAATTGGCTATTTACACATGTAAAAATGCTAATTTATATGACTTATTTTCTTTAAATATTCCATTATTGTAGTCAATTTAGCTTTGTTAACATTTTGACATTTTACAAATGTTTCGCGGTAAAGGCACCATAATTCTAAAGCTCATTTTGATAACAGACGGCGCTGTTTACAATTGTATGGCGGCTCATTGTGAACATTTAAAATCGCGCCCTTTCCACAACCCGACAGACATGACGACATTTTTCTGTCAAAAATAATAAAAATATTTTACGTACAAAAGCAAACTATTTGAGATATTTTATTTGATAAATAAATAGGCTATTTTATCGTGCATTTTCACAAATAGTGCACTATCGATTGTTTTGACCTATTTGTTTTCTAAAAGAATAATATATAGCAAAAACTCATTACGTCATGCATAAAAGTGATTAAATGAATATAAATCGGTAATGCTTAGTTTAGTTTATCTCTTCCCCTTTTGATATCATTGAAGTAATCTATATCGGCGCAGGCTTCCAAGTCATCGGGAGCCGCGGTGTCTCGGTGAGTAAGTCACTGGCTCGGTATAACCATAAAGTCTCGGGTTCGCTCCCGGAGTTGGAAGAGAAAGTTCCCCTGGTTTTCCGACGTGCTTTCGACCTGTCAGTGGTGCAGGACGGAGTGCCTGACAAGCAACAGTGTCTTAATGGGACGGAAACCCAATGGCTTGCACCAAGAGTAGGTCATAGCGCTCCTGCCCGTAAAAAATCCCCCTGCCTTTGCACACTTCATGGCGTATGCCCGTCTTCATTAGAACCGCCGGCGCATAACAGCAGGACGTTAAACTTTATTTCAGTTCCAAGTTACCGGTTTTGCGTTAGGAAGTAGGAGGACTCTTTGGAGATTGAGCGAACGATTCATCGTCCTTATCGATCTCGTTCTCTAGTTTGGTGTTATAACTAAATGAATTTAAAATTGGTATAGTTCTACATTGTTTACACCCTCTCAAAGTCCCATATTATACTCCAGTTGAGGGGTTCTGGGGTAATTGTCACCACCCCTCCCTTCTTATATTTTAATGTTTCCATGCCTATAAATTTTGAATCAATAAATTTATACCAATGATACTTGACAGGACTGCAAAGGTACATAACCTTAAAATTGATTAGTCAACATAGGGTAGTATAGACAAATATATGCTTTCAAGATTTTGCATCCACCCATATTTCCATGTGCACGTATTATGCCATCACCCCTGTCCGTACGTGTGTCTACCAGTCACAATTTGTTATCCAATTTTGATCTCGGATGGGTTCGATTTTTGCACTTATCTCAGGATAACATTTTGGATTATAGCTCCTGATCGCACGAAAGTCGCACACATAGCTTGTAGAACCTCTGGAGATCACATTTTTTTATTCAATTTCTTTTAAAACTTAAAATGTATGTGCATATGATAAAGATCTCGAATAGGTTCAATTTTGGCACATATCGGACCGTAATTTCCTGGATTTTTGCCCCTGGTTGAACGAAAATCGCGCCCTAAAAAAAAGAGAGACAATTTTGAAAAGCTATATGTTTAATACACAACAATCACTGATGAATTCGATTTTGGAGAAAATCGGACCGTAACTTCCCGTTAAAATTGCCCCATCCCTTTACGCAAATACGTGTAGTGGCAAAGCATGTACACGTAATACATATACCAATTTTTAGATGACACTTAAAATATGCGTTGATGGTTGACGGATCTGGTATGTGCATCTATATCGGACCCCTGTCATTTACGCAAAAAGAGAAGTATGCACGAAGTTTCTGGCCCAATTTTAGATGAAACTTAAAATATGCGTTAGGGATCGAAATATCCTGGATTGGTTTGAATTTGGTGAGCATCGAACCTTCAGTTTAAGAGTAATCCTCCTTTTCCGAAAACATTGTGAACGCGATACAGGCTATAGTTTCTAACAGATTCTTTTTTATCGAATTAAGTTATGTCACCTTAGCCGAAAACCCCATCAATATTCAACCTTCTGTAACCTCCTTTAACAGATTTAATTCTTGTTCGATGTAACTCATTGGGCAATGAGAGAACGAACCCTGTCGGTTTACCCCGTCCATCAGCGTTCCCCGACCTTCTGTTCCGGAATAATCGCCCTTTTCCGAAAATCGTGTGGACCTAGGAGCTGCACTTCTACATCTGAAGTATCATTTCCCTTTTCTCAATCTAATTTCAAGTGAAATAAAATATTGTTTATAAACCAAAACAAACACACACAAAAAATTTGCTCTATACTAGCGTATTTCCGGGTTACTTAAATAATATCAGAATAATTTACTTTTACACGTAAAATACTTTATTTTTCTTTTAGAGAAAAAAATAGTCTAATTTTCTTTCAAAATTGTCAAGAAAGATTTACTTTTGTACCTATGTTTGAAAGAAAAAAATGTCGTGTTTTTGGTTTATATAAAAAAAAGGCACCATTTTACATGTCCTCAATGGGCCACCATATAGTAAACAGCGCCACCCGTCATAATTTCAACGCTCATTATGCAAACAGATGGTGCTGTTTACTATATGGTGGCTCATTGGGGACATGTAAAATCTCGCCCTTTTCATAATCCGTCAGACATGACGAAATTTTTCTGTCAAAACTAATAAAATATTTTACGTACAAAAGCAAATTATTCTAGTTATGGTTCAGATGAATAAATAGGCTACTTTGTCGTGCATTTGCCCTAATTTTCAATTTTTGCAGCAACATACCCAATCATTTATATTTTTATATATGAATTATTATAAAACTCTTTTCTGTGTTTCTTATCAAACATTAAATACAGAAGATATTATTGTAAAAAAAAAGTTTACCCCAGCTGGTATATAATATCCACCAATTGTACAGTTCTCCTGTATGACACGTACAGTACCAACAGGAGTTGGAAATACTATTCTGTAAATAAACACTCCATACATTTAAATCCTCAATCAGAAACAAGAGATCAGATTTTCATTCAAAAAGAAATCACAAGTTTGGTTCGGAATTAAACTCTTTCATAGAAAAGACGTGTCGTGTATGGGGCACCTGCCACCAATAGTCTGCCGGATTTTGATTATTTCCAGGAAAAAAGTCCCATCAAAGCAAACTTGGTCTCAAATGAAAGGTGGGGTCCATAGGTACTCCCGAAAAGAATGACCCTTAATTCGGAGGTCTAGGTCGTTTCAATTCACCAATGTATTATTCTCCACATCTACAGTTAATTTCGTAGGCACAGCCTTTCGGGAATGTAGGCTTTGTGCAGAGGTTTGACTTTCCATTACCATTTACTAACTCCTTAGTTGTTGCGCCTTTGGGGAATCCGGTTTCTATGCCTGCTTCTGTTTTAAATTGGTTGGGGTGTATGATTTTTTGGTTTATCAAGTTTTGATATAATGTGGCTTTGGTGAACTTGTTTACCATTCATGAATGTTCTGAATAGTCGTTGTGTTGGATGAAGACGTCTTTTGGGTCTTGTACTCCCAGGTTGAGTGATTTAGTAAACGTGGTGATAATGCCTGCTTTTTATGCATTTGGGTGATTAGATTTGTAGTAGATATATTGGTCCATGTGTGTTGATTTTCTGTACACTGTGGTGGTGACATTGGAGTTCTTTCTTCTTACCATTACATTAAGAAATGGGATGGCTACTGTTGGTTTTATTCTCCATTGTGAACTTCATTCTTGGATGTTGGTTGTTCAAGTGATTCAGGGGGACGACAATAACATCTTCTTTTTGTAACATTACAAAGGTGTTATCCATCTTTCTGAACCAGAAAATAGGTTGAAATCATGTAAATTTCGGAAATCAACGGGGATAAAGGATCATTTTCCATCGGTAAACCATGAATCTGTCCATAATAGTTTTCCCCATGTGAAATATGTGGATTCCAGGCATTGCTTGATCAAAGCAATAATGGTATCAGCTTGCAGTGATGTATCCAGTGGTGTGGAAAGCTATCAAATACGGGTTTAAGAACTCTGAAATCAATGTTTGTTTCTTCTCTTGCACGTTAGTGAGTAGGTCGACAACACCGTATGATGGCAATTCATAGGAGTTCTTAATGAAAATATCACTATGTCTGGAAGATCTTGGAATATCATGAGTATGACAAATCCTACAGATTGTATTTAGGTGAAACAGAATTGATGTCAGAAGCTTTTAGGGTCATCAACTCCGAGAGCCGAACTATATATAACCCGTACTAACCCGTGGGCTAAAAGTGAAACGTTTAAAGAAAAAATTAATGTTGAACGCGGAAGTTAAATTAACTCATCTCTGATTGGGCTAAAGGAGCGTTCTTAGGGGTGAAAAATGGGTTTTTGATGTTATCTGAGGTAAGTTTACATAGGCAGGCTGAAGTTGACTTAAATCATCAGTTTTGGCCATTTTACCCTGCCCACCGCCCCCCGTGTTCTCGTCCTTATCTGAGATAGAAGGGGATTTCGCGTTTTTAAGTTAGTGTTATGTTCTAGTGAACCAATAGTGAAACTTTTAACGAAAAAATTAACGTTGTATGCGGAATTCGAATTAACTCATCTCTAAAGGGGTGGGGGTGGGGTTTTAAGGGAGGAAGGAAGGGTCGTGGGTCTTCTTAAGCAGTGTTTTTGATGGCATCTGAGGTTGGTCGACAGATGCACGAAAGTTGATCGTTGTACGCAAAAGTCGAATTAAATCGTCATTTTAGTCATTTGACCCATGGGTCCCCCGTTTTGTCGTTCTTATCCGGGATAGAGGGGGATTACGCGTTTTTAAGTTAGTGTTATGTTCTAGTGAACCAATAGTGACACTTTTAACGAAAAAATTAACGTTGTATGCGGAATTCGAATTAACTCATCTCTAAAGGGGTGGGGGTGGGGTTTTAAGGGAGGAAGGAAGGGTCGTGGGTCTTCTTAAGCAGTGTTTTTGATGGCTTCTGAGGTTGGTCGACAGAAAGTTGATCGTTGTACGCAAAAGTCGAATTAAATCGTCATTTTAGTCATTTGACCCATGGGTCCCCCGTTTTGTCGTTCTTATCCGGGATAGAGGGGGATTACGCGTTCTTAACTTAGTGTTGTGTTATAGCAGACCAATAGTGAAACTTTTAACGAAAAAATTAATGTTGTACATCTCTCAAGGGGGTTTTCTTAAGGGAGGAAGGAAGGGTCGGGGGTCTTCTTAAGGAGTGTTTTTGGCGACATCGGAAGTTGGTCGACTTGTGCACGAAAGTTGATGATTGTTATATGCAAAAGTGGAATTAAGCTCGAAATTTCGACGTTTTGTCAGACCGCCCACCCCCATGGGAAGGGGACCGGCAACTTAAGAATCAAGGTTCAGAGTATCGCACACCGCTGTCCACCCATCTAGCATAGTAGAAATTTTGTACGCTATGTTGATAATACATGTACATTTATAGGGTCTAACATTGATAGTTTTTGAGATATTGACTGTTTTTTTTCTGATTGGTCTACCTTGACCTTTGACCCCGCCCAAAAAAATTTCCCCAAGCGATCACGATAGGTCATTTTTTTTCTAGAGCCTACGAATCCCACTTATCATTTGAGACCAAGTTTGCTTTGATGGGACTTTATCCAAGAAAACACATAAATCTGTGTTTATCCGGCAGACTACAAGATATAGCGTAAATAAAATACCATCAGATTCCAGAAAATCTGTCGAATGATAAATTATATTAGACGCAGTTTGCAATTAATGTTTTTATAGTCCATATGTCGACAATTATATTGGGCATAAGCATCAAACCGGCTAATTAATAACTTGATGTCAGGGATATAAACGACCAGAACTCGCCCCGGCTGGACAGAACCTCAACTAGATTCAGAGAGCTAATTCGTATTCTCGAGAGTGGGGAATATTGTGATTTTTTTTTACTTTGCTTAAAATAATTAAATAAAGTTAATCATCTAACCTGAACAATGGGCCAGTCTTAGACGACCCGATCCCACCAGTACTACAGTTTCTCATTAATGTAGGTGTTAAACTATGTACTGCACTTACTATATTTATAATAATAATTCCATGCTATTTACAACCACATTTTGGAAATGTCCCTAATGCAACTGGCGTGTGGTTTACCGATCTACATTACTATTAAAGATGTATTATGTAAGATTAGATAAAGAGATAGCCGATCTTACTATAATAGTTAAAAAAGGTTATGCTTTAGAGAGAACAGCGAAATTTAATGACGGAGTTGCACAATCTGTGTCCACGTCTGACTTTCTGATACAAAACCCCCACATGAAACAAATATCATTTCGGGTAGGCGCGTGTGTAAATATACAAGCCAACAGTGAGGTTGATGAATAGATGACACATATTAATTAATTACACATTTTTTTGAAAAGTATTGAGCAATCAAATTGATTTTCTATACTTAGTCTAAACAGAAAATGTTCATGATCGAACTCAGTCAAGGTTTTCAAGTACCTGGTAGTGAAACTATACACTGTGGCTACGCACTAATCAATCTTTATTTTCGAATAAAAACTATGTATATTTGTTGATCTTTTATTCATGTGTTGTAGACTGACTAGTGGTTTTCTGCAAAATATACTCTTCAAAAAAAGTAGGGAATATTCAGATACAATACCAAACTGCGGAAATGCACTGCTGTTTTCATTAGAGGTATCCAGTATATGTTAATAACAGGCCAATTGCCTACACATGAACATAAACAGTTCATATGGGCGTCTTATTTGACGGCCCCATTTCACTCGCAAAGAGATACACCGTCAAAAGTGAAAATGGACGTTTTTGATTTTTGTCTTAATAATGAGTAATTGATCCACCAATCCTGACACATTCAGCAATTCGTCGTTGCATGCTCCTAATCAACCGTCTGACCCACTCCTCTTGCAGTGCCACGGCCAATATTCTTGCAGTGTTGTCCGTTGACGTCGACGAACACGTCTCCCGGTCAAATTAAACGTAACACACCAAAGCAAAGATACGCTAAATAGTAAATCTTATGCAAGAACCGATAGGAAAACAAACATGGATAGATAAACCAGCACGCGGCAGTTTTCATCAACCCTTCCTTGAAATGTCAAATTTGACAATAAACCCCTCCCACGTGTATGGCAAAATTGCGTGTCACACGTGCAGCTCAGTGGTTCTGTTGGAACGATAAGTTCTTCATCTGTGAACATACTCTCAAAGAATGTCAAATGTCCATGACTATTTATCATATCGCAACCTGCATAGGTATTTGCATTTCAATATCCCCTACTTTTTTTTGAAGAGTATATAAACAAAAACGTCAGTGTACGGTGTCTGATCTAATTGGAGGGGGCGGGGGTAATTAATGTCACGAATTATCAAACAAATAAACAAATATCACGTCACGAAGTGTTCACGAAATGAGGACATATGATTGTACTTACAATCAAAGTTATCTTGTCCCAGAGCATCGCCCAATGAAATTGCTTAGGTCTGCTTAGCTTTAGTGGAAAATGAACATCAACACCAAGTTTAAACATTCTACCTCAATTAAAAGCAGAGTTGTTCTGACCAATCAAATGGTTATCGCTACTTAGCATAGACAGAAAATTCTCATCATCGAACTTTGTCAAGGTATTGATAGAATGAATCTATTCTGTAAGTTTCATCACTCTCACCCAATTAAAACCGAAGTGACAGTCTTCCAAAGTCTCAACCAATCAAATTGCTTATCTCTGATTAGCCTTAGTGGAAAATGCGCATGATCGAACACTGTCAAGTCATTCTCCTAATAAACACCTACACCAAGTTTCAAAATTCTACCGCAATTAGAAGGAGAGTTATTGTGTTCCAGAGTCTCGACCAATCAGACTGAAGTCTCTACTTCGCCTCCGCAGAAAATGCTCATCATCGAACTTAGTCAAGGTATTAATGTAATGGAGCTACACACAAAATTTCACTACTTAGAATAAAAGTTACCGAGTTCCAAAGTCTCGACCAATTAAATTGCTTATCACTCTGCTTACACTAAGCAGAAAATGCTCATTATCGAACTTAGTCAAGGTATTGCTATAATGAAACTATACACCAAGTGTCACCATTCTCACTTAATTAGAATTAAAGTTACCGTGTCCCAAAGCATCCACCAATCAAATTGTTTATCTCAAGACATTCAACTAATTTACACCTACACCTAGTTGGAACATTCTAGCTCTATTAGAAGGGACGTGATTCTGTCCCAAAAAGTGTGACGGACAGACAGGCGGATGGACATAAAGACGGACGGGCGGACGGACAGACAGATCCATTTTAATAGTGCTCTGCTTTCTTCCAAAGGCGGGGGACAATAAAACATGTTTTGCCATGTCAAATTGCGAAGTTGCTCAAAACATTGACATTTTCAAATATTTTTGTTGTTTTTCAAATTTAAAACAAAGCAATCTTCAAGCCAGGATAAGACATGTTTGTGGAAGGAGAGGGCTTCAATAAATCAATAAGGAATACCAGGAAACGGAAACGTCAGGTATCGTTGACATATTCAAACTAAGATGATAATATATTATAAATTATTAAATTAATAATAATAATAAGGTACATTTGTAATTGCGCTCACTCCATCCATATTGCATGCTTAGTCTAAGCGCATGGAAGATAATAGCTAATCCTGATAATATGTAACAAACAAATGAGTTTTGAGTTTGGATTTGAACACAGCTAATGTTTGAGAACTCTGTATCTCCAATGGTAAGTTATTCCACCGTTTTTCAATCCAATTAAATCTCAGCCATCCGATGAACTAGAAAGTTGAATAAATGTTATGTGAAGAAATGTCTAAATAATAGTTTTAGCTCTTACATAATACATCTTTAAAACTATGGTAACCCGTGTGTCTTTTGGCCTAGGACTACAGAGAATCGATCGATATTATTATTAATAACTTGCCTACATGTTTCTTTAAAACAACTTTTCAGATACGGCATACGTGATAATATTTCAGTAGTGATACCATCTTTAGTAGTACATGTGTCCTTTATTTCTTGATATAATATATCCTGTTTAGATTGATGTTTAGCTAAATTCCATAGTAAAGTCGTCAGCACTTTGGCAACCTAGAATGAAAAGGCCATTAAATCGTCAGTTTAGCCTTAAATACAAAAATATTTTTGTAAAAAGATACACAGTAAAACAGATCGTCCGCATTGTTGTATCAACACCAATGACTCCACTCCGGAAACACAGACCTCTCCTCGACCTCTGATGATTTTATTTTATGCCGAATGAGGCCGTAGCCTTTTCACCCGTATCTCCATCCGCCAGTCACCCAAATGTGAACACTCTATATGCTACATTAATTTATCATATGATTATTTATATAATGTAACCTATTTAATTTTACGAATTCTGATAACTACTAGAATTCTGTGCCCTTGATCACTTTGTATAATCGTATGAACCCTAATGACAATAGTTAGCAGCGTCACATCTGTTTGCAATTTAATACTGGGTCGAATGACAACTTTTGTCATTAGAAAGTCGACAATATAAAAAGGGGACCCACAAGTAATTAACAAGATCGTCTGATAAACGAAGTTTGTAGACTGTTCACAAGAAATTGTGAAAAACGAAATTGTGGAAGACGTTCTAGGGAGACGTCAATATACGACCACATTTCAATATGGGCGAAAAGAAACTGCAAGCGCTGCATTTTTCTCCTTTAATAATGCGTGTACGTTTGTATAATACTAGTAATTCCACATATCAGATTATAAAGTGTATGTATACGGGACTTTGACATACCTTCACAGTAATCAGCCGGAGTGCCAAATGTGGGCATGCAAACGGCACTCTACTTCTTATGTAGCAATATCAGACGAATATTTAATGATAATTTATACTATATGCCCCCTTTTAACTGCTAAAAGATTTGAAAGGTTCATCAACGCCTTGTCTTTGCCAAGTGTCTTCCCCGCACTACAACAACTATATTAGCAAGCGTTTCATCACTAATAAAAACAACAGATAGTGGGCAAACAGACAACTAGGAATACGTATTATAATTATAAAAACACTATTTTAGATATTTCTGTGCTTCCCATTCTTAGAAAATGGCAATACCAGATTGAGTGCGATACTGTCATTGAAAATTTGCCCTATATTCCGACAACCCCACAGTATTGAAAAAATATCATACTCAATGCTAATGAAAATGTGGTCTTTAAAGTATGTAGAATCAATTACAAATTGTTTGTCAGTAAGTGTAAAACATTCCTTCCACGTCTGCGTTTAGAACAGAGTTTAATGCAATTGTAATTAGAGACTAAATGTAAATAATAGTTTTTTATGTATCGAAATGAAATTTATCTGAATGATAAAGCAGATACGAGCGTATTTCGTACAACTTATAGAATTCTGTATGTGTACAATAAATTGAGAATGAGCCCGTTTTGTTTGGTAAAGTAAATGTAAACTGTCGACCGTATACCTAATATACTATTCAAAAAAAGTAGGGGATATTTGATTTTGGGGGCATAATACTAAAATATGCAAATGACTACGAAAAAAGTCACTATAGAACCTAACAGAAGAAACATTTCCAGTTACATGTGACGCCCAAACGCACCAATAGCTACCGCATGGAATGCAGGTGATGCTTGGGATCATCATGGGGGTCCAACCCAAGATTTGCACGACTCTGACTTTGAATGTTACAGTCATTGTGGCATTGAATTCCAGGGTGGAAACATCAGTTTAATTGTTTTAGTGACCAGAAAACAAATTTTGATATGCGTCGGCTTACCCAAAATGACAGGTTACGTGCCCTTGGCATGCTACAGATCGGCACAACACAGGCGGTTCTAGCGCGGACGATGAATGTTTCTCAGTCTGTCATAAGCAGGTTATGGTCCAGATACCGTGATACACAATCTGTACAGGACAGACCACGCTCAGGTCGACCAAGGGCGACAACTCAAGCCCAGGATCGATTTATCCGTACCTTGGCCTTGAGAAATCGTGTCATCACAGCAAATCAGATCAGCGCTCGTCTTCAAACAGACACTGGTGTGAGAGTGAGTGGCCAGACGATTCGGAAACGACTGCATAGGGGTCACCTTCGCGCCCGACGTCCTCGCGTGATCCCTTGTTTGAGAGATCATCACATTCAGGCAAGACGTCGTTGGTGTAGGGATCGTCAACACTGGGATAATTGACGCTGGAGCAATGTGATGTTTTCAGATGAGTCAAGGTTCACTGTTGATTTTTTGGATAGACGTAGGAGGGTGTGGCGTCGTCGAAACGAGCGCTTCCAAAACGTTAACGTCATCAGACATGATCGATTTGGGGGTGGTTCTGTTATGGTGTGGGGAGGCATCACTGTTGCTGGAAGAACGGCTTTACATGTTGTTGCAGGGCGTGTTACAGGCCAGTACTACCGGGACAACATCTTGGCAGTCCATGTTGTGCCGTTCGCACGACGTCATGGCCGCCGTTTCATCTTCCAGGATGACAACGCAAGATGTCACAGGGCCAGGATCGTTACAGGTTACCTCCAACAACAGAACATCACCACATTACCTTGGCCAGCACTGAGTCCCGACCTGTCCCCCATCGAGAATGTCTGGGACATGCTTGGACAGAGGTTACGTCAACGTCAACAACGTCCTGCCAATGTCCAAGAACTTGCTGCTGCGTTGCAACAGGAATGGGACAATCTGGACCAAAATGACCTTAGACGTCTCATTAGGAGTATGCCACGTCGGATCAATGCTTGTTTGGCAAACAGAGGAGGATTTACCCGTTACTGACTTGGTTGTGATGCTGTGGTAACTTTGCTGTTTGACCCCGGGTATCATTTTACCCTTATAATGGTCAGTCTGTGCCTTACTTAGTCTAACGATCATTTGGAATAAATCGATGAATGTGAACTTCATTTCATTTTGTCATTTGTTTCTTCGTCAGTTTCATTAGTTGACTTTAATAACACTTAAAAATCAAATATCCCCTACTTTTTTTGAATAGTATAGTAGTAAGTGCAGGAAGACCGCACTATACGCAGACGCAATCGACAAACAAACCTGTGGACAAGACAAACTATAACATTGCAATTGATCCGGGGGCTAGTCGTAAGCGTCCACTGCACTCTACAGTTCCGGGCCTGTAATGGTATGGGTTTCACTCAAAATTAAAAAAAACAACAAAACAAGATGACTAGTCATCACCATATCGCGCCCTTGCACTTGTTTGGAAGGCATAAGGCAGAACAACTTCTTGGAATATCAATGGGACTAGTCAGAATATTCATACTCTGGGCCCTGTTTCACAAAAACTTAAATCTCCATAAAATCGTCTTAAACTAAAATTCCATCCTAACTTAAGATAGATGCGTTTCACAAAACGATTTTAAGCATTTTAAATAAAATCCACTAAAATAATATTGTAAGTTAAAATTGTATCTTAACTAAAAATGGCGTTTCACAAAACTATTTTATGGACAATTTTAACTAAAATCAATTTTAACTTAGGACAGCCGTCACCCTCTCCTAACTTAAAATCATGACATTAACAAACATTGATTAGAGCTACGTCGTGAGATCTATTGTGACATATAGATATATTTGGAATAATGATAATATTGCCGATGGCCCGGGTTATATAATTTAAACATACTATCATTCACAAAAATATATAGATGCGGCCAACCCGTTTATTTTATTGTAAGGCAATATAAGCAATTAGATGACGCCCCAAATTAAATCCCAAGAACAAAATCTACGCATCGGAACATTGGTTATTTCGTGTATTAGCTTAAAAATTGTTAAATACTTTTAAAATTTGAGAATACTTTAGTCTAGATTAATCGTTTGAGTCAGAAATATCACATGTTTGTGACAATTGTCAATAGTTTCTTTCTGTTATCCAAATACCATAAAACTACGAAATTCAAGCGATTTAGTTTATCGATACCCATTATTTCCATTGAAGCCTGCGATTAAATCAAATGCCAAGGTCACGAAAGCGACATGCAAGTTCAAGCCCAACCAACTGATACATTTCAAAACGAATAATACGCAATAAACTTTTTTATTTCATCTCTCTTCGACTGCCTGACCATGTCCAGACATTGATACAACGTATGAAACTCTCCTCATTGGTATTGTAACGGTTAGTTTAACCTGGCAACAGTTTTCAGTTTCGAAGCGTTTAAGCTTAAACCCTGAGTGCCCTCGCCGGAATTGTGCACTAGCTGATCGCAAGAAATTTTAACTAAAATCTATTAAAACTGCATTTTAAGTTACAATCGATCTTCGTGAAACGCATAAAATCAATCTGATTAAAACACAGATCATAATTTCGTTTCGTTTTTATAGTTCAAAATTTCATTTTACTTGTCTTTACTACACTAGGATCTGGAAGACGTGTTCTGAATGATATGAGGGAATAGCTAATGAAACGGTCTGTAACGGCGAGCTTTAGGCGTGTTTTGCACGGAACTGTGGGTAATCCACTAGTAACATCAATGCTGATTGGTTAATCAAATTTCGGACGTCATAGGGTCATAAGCTGCTGACCTCTGACGCGACCTATCGCTACAGTCGGTCAGATCATCATGTAGTGTAGGCCATCAAAAGTATAAAAAAACGAAACGAAATATAGATCTGTATTTTAATCAGATTGCGCATAAAATTTAAAATTTCATTTTGATTTTAGTGATTTTATTTTAAGTTTTTGTGAAACAGGGTCCAGATCACAGTAGCTTATATACCAAAAAATTAAGTCAAATGTGTAGTAAAAATTAAAAAAAAACATTCAACAGAGAAATTTGTTTCCATGGAAACACAAAAATTATCAAATCCGAGAAATTTCTAATAAGGAAAAGGCACAACTACTATCACTGGTTGATGTTTGTACAAAGTTTCATGAAGACATCTTGAATGGTTTATGAGATATGCTCCGTAAACAAAATTGTACACCACGGAAACACACAAATTAAAAATTCAAAAAATTCCTAAATATCAAAAGGCACAACTACTGTAATAGGTTGATGTGTGTGCAAAGTTTCAAAAAGATATCTTGAACGGTTTATGAGATATGCTCCGGAAACAAAATTGTACACCAAAAACTAAGTTAAATTTGTTTCCATGGAAACACAAAAATTATTAAATCCGAGAAATTCCAATTTAGCAAAAGGCACAACTACTATAATAGTTTATACAAAATTTCATAAATATATCTTGAATGGTTTATGAGATATGCTCCAGAAACAAAATTGAACAACAAAAACTAAGTCAAATTTGTCTCTATGGAAACACAAGAAATATAAATCCAAGAAATTCCTAAATAGCAAAGGGCACGACTAATGTAATAGGTCGATGTGTGTGAAAAGTTTCAAAAAGATATCTTGAACGGTTTATGAGATATGCTCCGAAAACTAAATTGTGAAGGACGGACGGACTCCATTTCAAGAACCCTCCCTAACTTCGTTCGGCGCCTTTATAACAAAACAACGCTTTATAAAAAATGAAATGGGGTTTAACGTCCTACTGTTCTGCTCGGACTGGGATAATGAAGACCTGCATACAGTGGCATACACCATACAGTGTGCTATGAAGGATATTTTGCCCGGACAGCGGCACCACGACCTGCTTTTATATCGAATTCCAACTGTCAAGGGATCTTTTACGTGCACCTCAATGTGTACACAGGACCTCGGTTGTTCGTCCCATCCGAACGACTAAACACTGACATCACTAACAAGGGGGAACCACGCCGGAAAATCTGGACGAACTTTCTCGGCCAATGCAGGGATTGAAAACCCGACCTCCAGTCTTACCCACTTAGCCACCGTGACCCACACAACGCTTTATAAGAAAGACGTAATAGAAATAATGCGACCGGTCGTGGCCGACAAACATGAAGCTCAAATTCAATTGCAGCTGAGTGAAGTTTATCCGAAAGGAAAAATTGGATGTTGAGCAAATTTGATAAGATCATTGAAAAAATCTAATCTCTAGGGTTCATCCTCTTACAACCCCATTCCCTATGGCGGTATATTAGTTTCAAAATTCTAATGTGCTATCGTCTAATTTCTAACCTCTGTTCATGTAATTTCTAACTTCATTTCATGTATGAAATTAAGACAATGTATAATCCAACTTCTTTATTTGTTAAGTGTAAATTTTAATTCTATTCCATCTTATTTCTATTATTTAGACGAAAAACGTCTTCTTCATTGATGCGTTACACGTTTAGAATTTTTACACTTCTGCCTAGCAACTATCATTATGAAATCGTTTGGTGTCGCCACTGCGTGCTTATTTGGTGATTGCGCACTTGGTAGGGACCATTATGTTGATATAAACGACTCGCTCTTCGTCTGGTTGATGGTTGGGCGGAGAGAGAGAGAGAGAGAGAGAGAGAGAGAGAGAGAGAGGGGGTGGGGTGGGGGTAAGGACCACTCGACACAAACTAGGTCATTTCGGGACTAACATGGTTCAATTTTATTTCAACAATTCGCTTGCGCGTAAGGGTCTTTAGCGGTGGGAGGACCCGGAGAAAACCCACGAGGTTGTACAGGCGACCCTACTCCTTGTCACGTATAACCAGGGAATCGATGGTGAAATTGAAAACAACATCGAAAGTGCAATGGTTGGTAAATACTACTTCAAATAAAAGCCAAACAGCATTTTTTAATTTTTTTTCTTGAGGACAAGTGAAGGATTTAGAGAATTTTAAAAAAAAATTGTTTACAGTTAAGCCATCAATAATATTTATTTACTGTTAAACTGTATTTATTCTATTTCTACTCTAACCAAAATGATGAACTTTTTCTTGATATGGTTCAAAGATATAAATTTAGAAATCCCATATTGTAGGGATGAAACGGCCTTTAAAGGAGACTGGGATAATCTGTTCATGTGGAAAGCGATGTAGTTTTTATTTCTGATTCCTTCATTACACCGACCTGACTAACTTTATGGTAGTTTTTTTTCCAAAAATATTTTATTCAAGTTGCATAAAGCAATACGGAAATTCATAGATAGCGGTTTATCGTCCTACTTTTCTCACCATCAAGGCTAATGAAGACGAACTTACAGTGTGCCATGATGGGTGAAATTTAGCCTGGACAGCGGCGCCACAGTCTACTTTTATTACAAATTACAGCTGCCAAGGGTTTTCGTCCGAGCAGAACGACTAGACACTGTGTATGCCTACAATAACGGCAACCTCCGCAAATCACAGGGACGGAACTAATAATGTCAGAAATATTATAGCTTAGTTTTGCCAGTGTGTATAGGCCTACTAGCTGACGATGTTGTATAACCCATATTTTTTTTTATGATATAACCGATATCTTCCGGCGTGGTTCTCCCTCCCTTGTTATTGATAGAAGATGGGGATCTGGCACGGACAGTGGCATGTCGTTCGGGTGGTATAAAGAGACATTTTTAGAGCATTAAAAGAATAATTTATAGATCAACAGTATATACATATTAACTGTAAAATAAAAATAAAATAAAATTCTCCAAATCCTGCACTTGTCTTTAAAAAAATGAACAAATGCTGTTTAGCTTATATCTAAAACAGTATTTGCAAACCATATCACGTTCGATGTTGTTTTCAATTTTTACACTCTGCCAAACCATTCAACCTGACGAAGAGCGAGTCGTTTGTGTCAACATAATGATAACGCTCAATGCTCAATCGCCAAATGGAGCACACGGTGGCGCCACCAAACGACGTCATAATGATGGTTGCTAGGTAGAAGCATCAAAATTCTACATTTGCTCGACGTTCATGATTAACATGTAAAGCGACAATGAAGTAGACATTTTTCGTCTTAATAATAGAAATCAGATGAAACAGAATTAAAATTTACACTTAACAAATAAAGAAGTTTGATTATACATTGTCTTAATTAAGAAAATACATGAATTGAAGTTAGAAATTACATGAAATGAAGTTAGAAATTACATGAACAGAGGTTAGAAATTAGACGATAGCATGTTAGAATTTTGGATCTAATATATCGCCATACATTCCACCCAAATTTGAAAAAATCTGTTAAAATCTATAGCCTCTATCGCGTTGACGCGGTATTCGGCAAAGGCGGGTAACTCTGGAACGGAAGGCTGCGGATTATGAATATCGGTAGGGGTCGATGACCCCGATTTTTCAAGCCAAATACGATAAAGATCAATTAAAAACTGTAGCCTTTATCGGTTCACAAGGTTTTTTCGGAAAAGGGAGGGGGGCATAAATCCGGAACGGAAAGTCGCGGTCGCGGAACGCTGAATATCGATCGGGGTCATTCTCTTATGACCCAGTGCTTCACATCAAATTTTACAAAAATCGGTTTAAAAATTATAGCCGTTTTCGTGTTCACAAGGGGGGGGGGGGACGAAACAGAAAGTCGCAGAACGCTGAATATCGATAGGGTTCGACCTCTCGTGACCACAATGCTTCACACCAAATTTGAAAAGAATCCTAAGAAAACTATAGCTTCTATCGCGTTCACAAGATTTTCAGCGAAGTTGCTGGGGGGGGGGGGGGTAACCCCGGAACGGAAAGTCGCGGAACGTTGGATATCGATAGGGTTCGCCCTCTCGTGACCACAATGTTTCAGACCAAATTTGAAAAGAACTATAGCGTATATTGCATTCACAAGCCAATTATTGACGGAGAGCCCTACGGACATGGTGACGACATAATACGCCCACACTGAAAATGTGGGCGTTTAAAAATAAAGATTTTACGTACATTTTCCGTAGCGACAGCAAAGAAGCCGCCAGTTAAACTTAAGACGGTTTCTTTCTCTAAACGTTTATCTTGTAATAAAGCTTGTAATAGATTAGGCTGATCGTGATTACTTAATGGACATTTATTCAGTTTAAGATATTCTCTTTCCACATCACGCTCAGCTACCCTAAAAAACAATACATAAGAATTTATAATTTCCGAATAGGCCTCAGAATTTCCAATATGAATGGATTATTACAAATGCTGAAATTCAAAGCAAGCGTTAATTAGTAAATTAAAAATGTTGAGTATACACTATTACATTCCATAATTTTAATAATATGTGTCACAATATATATATATATATATATATATATATATATATATATATATATATATATATATAAATAAAAGCTGATCAGACGGCTCACAGTTATATAAACGTTAAACCTACTGATTACTGCAACCATACCCTCACTAAGACCACGCTTACGTCTTGGTTATCATAATGGATATTCAGTCATTCCACCACAATGCTGCATCGATTATCAAATAAATACGGACTTACAGGAGGTATAAGGGAATTTTTATCTCTCGCAATAGACCTGACCAACAAACTGATGGCACAAACAAATTCTGCTCCATTTCCTCAAACATCTGAATGGAGTTATCACGCACCCCAACTCAAGGTGACAGTTTATTAAAGGAATATAATTTATGCAATTAAAGATAAAATATTAATTATAATTTCAAAACTTATGAATAATGAAAGAGACATATAATCAAAATAAATCCACCGAACAGCTCATAAAACATTAACTTTCATATCTTAAAAACCTACAACTATCATTAGGCCAAATATCAACAATGAACACTGTATACAAATAGTATCAAGTCACAAACTTTACATACAAGTATCAGCTATAGGTGATGAGTATTATACAAACACCAATAGTATTTTTTTGGTCATGTCTAATAACAAAGATGGCCCCATCCCTGTATGACGGAAGGTACATCTTACATACGTATTAATACAACGCAGATGATCCCATCCCTGTATTACGGAAGTTACATCTTACATGCAAACAAGGTTGATCCCATCCATCACTATATCGTGGAAAACATATCTCACATCACTGTATTGCGGAATGTACATTTTAGCATAAGTATTAAAATACTACAACCATGTCATACCACTGCAAGCGGGCCCATTATTATACAAACGTGGAAACTATTTACGATATCTGGGTTGCATTTGAGGTGGAAATGACGGACTAGTATAATAAAATGGTGGGTACATCACGCATGCCACAGGAAATGAAATGAAATGGGCTTTAACATCCTACTGTTCTTCTCCGGTCTGGCACAGGGAGTACCTGTCTATATCCAGGTGACATGTTACATAACAGAATAAACATGTATGTTATATTCCAGGGCCTGTTTTATTCCTATTATACTTAAAACAAAAACCCAAACTACCTGGGACCGGGGAAGTCGAAGCTGTAGGTTTTTGTAAAGTGGCTATTTATTCTTGCTACAGTAGACTACACATGCCACAACCCCCACTCCACCTAGTCTCAAAACAGGTTGGGTCTATTGGCTTTCATCATGCGAAACTGCTTATCATAAATGCCCATGTCCGTCATATTTCGTATTAAAGTTGTGTACTTTAACAAGCTGCTTGCCTCAGTTAAGTACTTTTCGAGGTGTACAGCCACGTAAATATGAAACACATTTGTCTACTTGTTTATTATACTGAGAAGGATATGATGCCCATCATCATCTGTACTCAATTTGAGATCAAAAGATTTCCGTGGGTCATTAATACAAAGATTGCTCAAAACAACAAATTGATTGGACCAAATTTTCTGGAAGACAGGAAGGCGAGATTATCAATATCGTGCTCAGAAGGAATGTCTGATGTCAAATTCCACAGCAGAACGATTAGAACTGGAAGGCAACCACCTACCAATGATATCAGTAGCCGGCGGGTCATTATTGTTCATATTATTCATAATAGCCCCCCTTCTTCTCCTCTCTTTAGCTGTCTAAATTAGGTCCTCATTATTAGTAGATGGCACTGAGGTAGGTGGCAAGGTTGTGGGTGGTGTGTGATGTGTAGAGTAGCGCAATATATACTTTCCAGTCTATTCACAGTATAACCGATGCCTCCGCTATGCACAGTATAACCAATGCTTCCATGTTTATTCACAGCATACCCACTGCTTCCATGTTTACTCACAGCATAAACCATGTTTCCACATTTGTTCACAGCATAACCAATGCTTCCATGTTATCCACAGCATGACACATGCTTTCAAGTCTATAATTAATATTAATAGCATAACCGATGTTTCCATTTTTATTCACAGCATAACCGATGCCTTCATGTTATTTACAGCCTAACCGATGGTTTCGTGCTATTCACGGCATAATCGATACTTCCATATTTATTCACAGCATAACCGACGATTTCATGTTTATTCACAGCATTGCCAATGCTTCCACATTTAATCACAACATAACCCATGCTTTCGTGTTTATTCACAGCATAACCTATGCTTCCATATTTATTCACAGCTTAACCGATGCTTCATATTTTTCACAGACAACTCATAGCATAACCAATGATTTCATAATGCATCATAGCATAACCAATGATTTCATAATGCATCAGTCTACAGACGAATGGTTTGTAGTATACAACCCCTTCAAGATGTGTAAAAGAGTTTATTATTATGTAAATGAGATCCATCTGTACGAAGTAATTCCACGTGATCTTTATGACTCCATCATAATAATTATACCTGGACAAACTACCTGAATGTTTGAGGGTCTAGACGTGTACTCAGTGACGTGTTCTAGTAAGTGATCTGTGGAATAGTTCACAAACCCCTATCACTTCTACCTTGTAAACATTTTGTAACATAGAAATCAGGGTCAATAGATTTTGGTATAATTCATGGGCTGTAGTGTGAGGCATGTTCAAACCACTTCCTGCTATTTGCAATATCACTTATAAGGTGGTGAAAACTTTCTCAATATCATGGGGAAGGATTTAATCAATTTGTCTACAGTAGCTCCTGGTTGTCCCACAACGTGCACAAGGCCTGTTGAAAACTTAAAATTGTCGAGATTACTTTCTTCTAAATACCGAAAAAGTCTTGCAATGAATGAATGACCCAAAAGAAATACCTGGGAGTGACAGTGTTTATAGCGGAAGATGTAGCCATTTTGACATAAGCCGTGAAAGAAAGAAGGAAAAACAGATAAATTTTACAACAGTTCCACCGACATCTACTCGAATATGGCAAATGTTATTGTTAAAGATGGGTTCCCGCGTACAAACTCGGTGATTTAATGGTATATATGGACCAAAAACATATTCAAACTAATTAATTTGTCATAATTATGCTTCAAATCCTTCTCAAACCTTGTAATTGCGAAGGAATACCCTGCTATTAAAATTCGATCAAACCAGGTCATGTATTCAGGTCTTGGGAGTCAGAGGAGAATTCATTGCATACATAAGACGATGTTGTCTTTAATCGCTTACTATTTATTACAAATATCGAATCCTAATTAAATTCTCGGATTATCCACTACCCGCGTCTTTTTCCGTCATTTTTTATCTCAGAAACTATTGTACGTTTAACTCTTCATAAAGTTTATCTTTTTGTACATCAAGCGCTCAATGTTCGCTTGTGACCTTTCACATCACGCGGGCTGTTGATTAGGGGAACCCTTACATTTTTGTCCTGTATACGCTCCATGAGTGTTTTTCGGGGAATCCAGTATTTTTCTAGTAAGATTGGATATCTCAACTTTCCATATACTAGTATACCAAAATTGCCATACTTTTATTGGAAATGGCCACACGATAAATACTTTTCTGGGAACCCATCTTTAAAGGACAATATTGGTGCCAGCCATTATCACATATGTGATAGAACTTTTTGAACACATTCCTAATATAATTTTAACAGAGAGATCACTGATACGATAGTTGAGTAATACAGGATTCCAGAATCGGGTGTGACGAACGCCAAAGGAAAACGCGAGATATACCTCTATATAACTGGCTGAAGTGCCGACTGATAACAGATACATGGGCGAATTTCTGCTCACTAATAATTCCTTCGAAGACCAAAAGTTGTTATATGGAGAGGATAGCTGACAATTCAATACAGTAATTGAATGTCATTAGATAAGAGAACACGAGAAAAATAGAAATAGTCCGTACATTCCCTTGTTTAAATTCATTCTATAGGGGAGAGCGGGGCTAGTTCGCACCATTTTTAATAAAATAATAAAACCAACATAGCTCGACAACTTTTGAAGCTACGTTACCGTAGACCAGTGATTCCCAACCTGTGCCGTGAGATCTTCCTATGTGTGTCGTTTAGTTTGAGCCATACTATGTGTCTATGACTAGTCTGTGGCTACAGTTGTATGCCGTCTATGATTTGCCATGTTTTTTAATTTGCAAATAAATCAAATATTTTTCATATTAAGTCGGGCGTGCCGCTGTTTTTTCATGTGTTTCAAGGTCTGCCGTTGGCACAAAAAGGTTGAGAACCACTGCCACAGACCATACTAGATTAAAGACAGTGGAGTTGGCTAATTTACAGCATACATTAAATAGTTTTATTTACAGGCGTTTACAAGTAATTTCATCTCAAAGTCACCATGTCCGAATGGACGAACATCAAGCCTCGGCTGTATAACAGTAGTGATATGTACCTACGCCTATACAATTGCGATGCGGCACCGGTTTACTTATGCCCCCGTCAGACCGGGGTGGCGTCCTTACTGCAGCTGCTGCGACCGTACAGCGACCAGGAAATGCACAAGGTCGCCGGCAAACGTGAACACAACGCGCGAAAATGTCCCCAAAAACTACAAACTTGAAAAAAAAGTCGTATTCTCATAGTTTTTTTACAGTTCAGATCGCAGAACCTTGGCGTTTGCTTTGAACATGCTCAAAATAAACGCGGTGACTCGGCGATCATTGGCGACCATGGTGACTACAGCACGATAGCTGGCGTTTCCACTACGCTTATGGCGATCTTAACGCACTCTAAAACTATTTTCCATCGCCGTATCAGCGAAGTAAGTACGCTACCCCGGTCTGACTGGGGTATTATTAGAAAAACTTGCCGCTTTTAGAAAGAAGTTCTAAAAACT